CCCCCCCCCCCCCCCCCCCCCCCCCCCCCCCCCCCCCCCCCCCCCCCCCCCCCCCCCCCCCCCGCCCCCCCCCCGCTCTCCTAGCCTCACCGTGGCGCCACCACTACCCGGCAGCACTATATAAATATATAAATGTATATTATCTTGTATTGCAACTTTTTACATGTCAGTAGCACATCAACCAAAAGGTCGAGGGCGTCCTAAACGACAGGTTCCAGAAACTAGGTCTTTATCAGATGACAGTTCATCATCAACAATACGAAAAGCAACACCGACTGCAGACAATGTGCCGATGCTTAGTGCATCGGCTTATAAGCGTGGCTGAGGTCGTGGCACTCATTTAAGACAACAATTCAAAGCACCTGATCCGCTCTGGAAAGTATCAGAGTTAACAACCGAACAATTTAACTCTAACGTACGGCTCGTCCATCACAGTCTGATCAACAAAACAATATTAGCGACGAAACAAAAGTTTTGGTAAACTATTTTCCAATTCGCGATTTTCCACGAAGTGATCTTGTTTATCAGTAAGATATTCAATCAAACAATAAAAAGGGTTTGGAACATACCCTTTACCGCCAAACAGTAAATAGTTACATTTGTGTTTCGCTTAATTTTATGATGATTTTTCTTTACTACTAGTGCGTTTTATTAATATTGTTGGAGTCAATATTGTCACAAATATCCAGAACTAAATCAATCGAAAATTGTTTTTGATAATCGAAAAATTTTCTTTACACTTGACCAACAGCTACCAAACATTGACGAGACCAGGGGGGAAAAAGCGATTTTTGAGTTTCATGATTTTTCTGAGTTTAGCTGATTTAAAATGAGTTTGAGAAAACGAAAAATTTGCTAAACTAACTATAAACTATTCCAAATCATAAATTATTACTGAAAATCATTCAAAGGCACCGAAACTCACGCAAACTCATTCCAATGCAGTTAATTTATATTGATTGTAAGTTGAGTTTTACTGTAATTTAAATCAGCTTTTTCCCCCTTGGACGAGGCGGTAAGTGACATGAAATTCGCTTTTTTAATCTCATAAGTGATCATTTTATTCTCGCATATTTTCTTCCAGGGGATCACTGAAAACATCCCGGCATTGAATAGAGTTATGGTGTGCGCGTGATAAAAAAAAACAGCATTTATCAACAACCCACACCTACACAACCTTTTTTTACGAGATATTCTTCTATCAAAAGTTAATATCTGAAAAAATATCACATATTTTTCAATGAGTACTTGAGCTGTTCCTATTCAAGGGTAATTCGATCTGTTATAGAAGAATTCACTGGATTCTCTTGTTGTAAAGTCATGTTAAAACGAGTGATGCTCAAGATCTTTATTTCGTAGAACTTTAGCGTATAAAATCTGTAAACACGTAAAAGAGCTTTTGGGACAAAATTTTATATTCTCTTAATGTTTATTGGTCATATTCTTCATCTATGTGTTCAAGATTATTTTGATGATTAGTCTTTGATGGAGCAGTCGGTTTTTTCCCTCATGAATCTGTCGTTTTATGTTTAGTCGGACCGACTCCACTCGGCTTTGTTTTTGGCACACCCACCCTATCACTCTCGGGGTTGCTTTGGTCAAAATCGAATTTACAATCTTGGCCAGGCATTTTTGTACCGACATTGCCATGTATAACTAAATTGATTCTCGTCATGGTTTCAGTTCCTAGATGATGAGTGGACATCGACTCTATTCTTCCGATAATTTCCTGAATTTCTTTAGATGCGTTCTCTTGCTGTACTTTAAGAAGTTGTTCTCTCAATGTGTGAGAATCTTGGTTAACTTGCGAAATCAAATATTGAGATCTTTGCATGATCGTACTCTGATGAGCCTGCAAGTCGTCTTGGAGTTCAGCTAGTTGCATAGATTTCCATTGGTCCAATGCAACGACGTACATCTGTAGCCAATCGTTATATAATTTATCTTGTCCTGTCTGCCGCATCTTGGCATAGCTCAGCAACTGTTGTTGTGCATTACGTGTATCATTAATAATAAGGTCTATGAGTAACTTTGATTGTTCTGATATAAGTTTTCCTTGTTCTTCTACGTTCAGATCAATTTGCTGATGGACCTGACTTAGGCGATTTAATAGGTCGTCGATTTCTTGTGTCGTTGATAAATTTATGCATGCATGAGATTGAGTTTGTAGTGATGATTGAACCTGAGCCGAATCATGAATACTTGAATTTCGTTTCTCTGATGCGTTAATACTTGTTTCTTTCTGATGAAACTGTTTGCTATTTGTTCTGCTTTCATCAATCACTGTAGCTTTTTTCACTTTATTAGTTGCCTAGAAACAAAAATACGTAGAATACGAGTGGATTAAAAATAAGATGAACTTTTAATTTTACTCTAAACATTTAAAACTTTCCGATCGACTTGATTATATCCATATATTTAAGTGATTCATAAACTATATAGTCGTATGCGAATTTTTATAGAAAATTTCTATTCGAAAAAAGGCTTTAACTATAAATTTAGAACATAAAACATACTATTAACAACAATCAGCTTTCAAATATTTGATAACTATTCAAAAATACGACCAATATTAACTTTTTCTCTACCAAGATGTTTCATTGCTAAACAATATTTCAAAACATTTTCAGAGTGAATGTTGTTCACAAAAACGTACGGCAAATGACAGATAAAATTTGGCATACAGTATAATGTTGAATCTGTTTTCATCATCTTTGCTAAACATTGAATTGTTATCTTCAATGATATTTATTCAATTCTTCTTCTGAATCGTAAATATTTAAAAATAAAACCCAAGGGTTTTTACTTGAATACTTAAGCGGATAGTTTCTGTTATGTTTTCAACAAGAGGGAGATAACTTCAACAATTTCGCCCGTAGCAGAACGTATTATCTGGTGTTAACATAAGCCCTATTTTACAAGCGTATTGTGAATCGGCAGCATTGTACTGTTTTCCAATAATTTAGCGATAAAATACCTTTGATTCTAGCATTTTGAATTACTGCCGTAAACGATCTGAATCAGATCGAACTATATGCATGCACTACTTTTCATGTGTCACCTCTTTTAGTATATATTTGATCGAAAAATACTTCTGTTTTTTTTTTTGCTTTAACTTTTTATAATTCCATTTTGAATACAAGAAAAATAAAATCATATTCGAAGAATTCAAATATGTCTCATAATGTTCACAATCGAATAATATATAAAATCACAACAATTTTGTAAAATTTTACTAACTTAACATGGCATTTGTTATATGGCTATTTGTAAATAAAAATAAAAGAGCATTCTTTGTATAGACGCTAAATTGACGTACTACCTTAAAATCAATTGGATCCATTAGTATGAATCTGAAAAATTCAATAATGCCGTGGTTATGCAGAATTATTAGTACATATCTAGTAGAGTAATTTATGATAGAGAGCAAGATAACAAAATGTTGTTTGCTTACATTTCTAATGGTCAATATCTTTATTTACCTACTTGCCATAGCAGATAGCTAATGAAAACCTATTAAAGATGCTTACATCTAACTGAGTTCATGCCAGTTAGACTCATAGAATTTAATACATATAACTATAAGATATAAACATGAACTTTTTAGATTGAATGTAGCTATATTAATTGAGACAACTAGTCTGATGATATTTTCAGTTTAAGTAGATATGCCACTGAAATCAATGTCCGTTGCAAATCGGATGTTTGATTAATTATTGTTAGTTTATTTTTGTTATATACGTGTACATGATGGTGAAAACAATTCATATCAACAAGGACAATACTAATTTTAAAGTACGAAATTCCTAATGAGAGTTTCGAAAACTACGGTAAACATTCCTCCGTAGCTACACTGAATACAGACAGTGTTCAACTGAATTTAGTGCCGTTTGTGGAGCGTATCGTATGATCTATGTAGTGTATAGTTTTAGACAAAGTTGAGTGAGAACTATTTTAATACTACACTCAGATCTTTATGAGAAAATTTTACACAGAAAAAGAATCAATCCAGAAAATGATAGGCTTTTATTTTTAACAAAACAGAAGGGTTTTCTATCATTTGAAGTACTTATATGGATATGTGGTGTCTCTTTTCTGAAAATTATTTTCATCTGACCTCTGAAGTCGCGTGTAAACAAATTCTATTTTGCCTTGTTATTAAAATAAAGATATCTGTACGTAGGACTAAGTGGCATTAGCTTTATGTTTACTGAAAGGTTTTTTGATAGGACGTGTGTTCGACGAGGATCTTAGTCACTAGGCAATCTAGGAGTAAATCACTTCATCATTCTAGACAAAACAAATGTTCACCATGTTGTCTTTTACTTTTATATTTACATTAGTTATTCTACAGAACTCGAGACCTTTTTCTAATAGCATAAAACACTTGCATAAAACAAAATTCAGTACAATTATTCATTCTAAGTTGGGTGTTTAAAACACCGAACCAATCAATCAATATCAATGAAACAATGAAAAGTACAGCTTACCTTTAGACTATAGGCTTTCTTTATAGAATATCGTTCGCGATCGGTTGGCCAGTCTGGCCGGAACTCTCCACCAGATTCGCTTGGTGGTAATGGCCATTGAAGATCGTCTACCTTTGCTCTTTTATGTGCCGTTCTCGGTGGTGGCGAAGACGACTGTGAATGTCGACGATGCTGTCTCAATGGATCTTGTGTTGGCAATGGGTGAATGGGATTGTGTTTCTTTACTTGACTGGTACTTGGAGTTGAGCCCATTTTAATCAAATTCTCCAGTTATTATAATCTAAATATGACACAAGCGAATGACATTTACAAATCAGAAAGACTTCAAATATATAGTTAATACAAAGTTATAAATATTACTTGCGAAGTAATCCATCCGAAGATACAATGAATAAAAATTTTTTTTACTACTTGCTGATTAAATTAAAAAACTATCGAAAGTCATTCTTCATCTAGTATAATTTATTTTGTTCGAAATTTTCAATTTCTTTTGTTCATACAGTGATATATAAGACATACAATTTGTGTATTGATTTGAAATCTATATCTATTTTCCAATAAAAAAACGTTTCGCATCATTCTACGAATCGGTGTTGAATCCAGCCAAATCATTTATCTTTAATACTCTTTAAGAGAAAAGCGTATCGTCTTGATGAATTGATTGAATCCCTTTTCTTTCAATCTTTGCCTCAAGGAAGATACAAGAAAAATCAAGCTTTCTTCGCGACTCTTTGTTAATATGATGTATTGAAACGTTTAATCACTGTCATAGAAAGGAAAAGGAAATGAATGTGCTCTTTGAATGACGATTTAAACCGATAAGTTGAGTATAAACTTACCTTTACTTAGTATTTCGTAAAACTGATAGTATTCTACATAAAGTTTACTTGAACATACCTGAATCTACTGAATTTATTTGCTAATTTTTCTTTGAGTAACTAAAAGAGTAACTTACCTGTCACGACAACCAAGTGAAGTGTAAAGTAACATGAATACAGATGATTTCTGGTTTATTTGATCAAATCGAATGAAAAGAAAGCGTCAACTTTTACTTTTCTTTTCTCTAAAAAGAAAATATTTGTGTTTGCGAGTGTTAATATCGTCGTCAAGTACAATGACAATCATCATCATCGTCGACGATTAGTCGATCTCTGTTTACTTGAGTTTTTACTATATACCGTCTCAGCAACGTAATAGTAACACGAATAGAGTCCCGTTATCGAGTATCAGTCAGTAATTCTAATGTAATTTGTGTAAGAATGGATTTTACAATACAAAAATAGCAACAACAAAACTAAATTTTCATTGAAAAGTGTGATTGCTAGAACACATGATATATACCCCTATTGGAGGCAAGTTCTTACGCATCTTATAACAAGAAAGAGCAGTCCACTGAAAAATATTTACAGATGGATGTTTACATTCCATAATAGACTGACGAATTCGACACAACCGTCGACAAAAAAAGTGATTATTTGCTTTTTTCCTACATGACAAAAATAACAGCTCGTTTATAAACGACCTTCGATTGTGTTGTGTATTAGTGAAGATTTTCGTAGAAAAAACGCGTGATTGCATAAAACTCTTCATTTCTTGCTGCCTGAGGCTCTTCAAGATTGAAATGAAAATATATATTATTTGACTAAGGTGCATAATCCAAACGACTATTAGCAGATAATTCTTAGAATACATGAACTGTGTGATATTGAGAAAGAAACGTGAGAGAATCTAAGATATGTCATCGGTCTTTTATTGAACACCTCACAAATGCTATCGGTGTGAATAGACGGAACATGAAAAACGGTTAACAAAATCTTTATTCAAATATTTAATTGTAATTCAAGAACATGTTCACAGTTCATCCTATCTATGAACCGATGATTACGGATTGTGAAATGATTATGGCTGCGAACACATGCATGGGCACCATGACCAGAAGCACTGTCGTTTTTTGCAGCACCTACCACTTGAACAACACAGACGGGTACAATAGCAGCAAGGTTCGTAAGTTCTACAAGCAGCGGATAAGCACTCGCAAAAGAAACGACAACACGAACACGAACAAGAATATGTGCAGCATGTGCAACAAGGACACCAGCAATAATCTGGAGGATTGCGATATATGTTGCTAGAAGGAGTTATCACTACAGCAGGATTGCATGTACAAACAGGAACACGTCGAGCACAATTCGTGCAAAGATAACGATGACGGGCATTGCGAAGAGGATCAGATGCCACGCCATTGCAATCATCGCAGACTGATGAATAAATTCCACCACAAGAATATGCACCACAATCGGTACAAACAAAATAATCGCGTCGAAACGGAATAGGAGCAGTAAAGAATGGATAATCTTTATTGTGGATTTGAGCAACTCTCGCTGCTACAATGAAAAAGAGCAACTGAATGAGAAGATTTAATCAGCTATTATCAAGATTTAAAAAAGATATTTTTGTCACTATTCAATCTCTATCTTGTAGTTTTAGGAAGATCAATTTTCGATCGAATTTTATGCAATATTTTACTATAAAATGAGAATTTCTCTCAAAAGAATTTTTCGCGTAAAAGAAAATGAAAGAAATGATTGTTCGTTGGTTGTATCATCTGATACAACATATATAGATCAAAGTTCTTTCAGATACTATTTCACTCACCGTCACTCATCGGATTGGTTGGCTTATCTTTGCCTGCCATTGGTTACAATTGACTTTGCTGGTTGTGATGAGCCACTCTCAAACTATGAATCCTTTCAGCTCGTTATGCATGATGTTCTGTGACTGAAAAAAAAAGATAAAAATACGACGAAATATTCAGCAGTATTTTCTTTGTCTTTAAAATTCGAATTATTATTCCTTTTACAAACAGTGTCTTAAATGGTTCTATCGCCTTTCTTGAATAAAATTAACGAAAGAAAGCTGTTGAGAGATGCAAAAGTAATAAAAAAATCGAATTCCCTCTAGAGATTATCGAAATATTTTTCTTTTGAAAACCTGTCAATGTGAACAGAAAAGACAAAAAAAATAAACGCAGCAAACTATTGACAGTTGCTACACAAATATTTCGCATCGAGTTACTCTTTCATTCTTCTGCTGATTCAGTGTAAGCAGATATTGTATATCTAGTGTTGCCAACGCTTATTTACATTTAACCTTCGTTCACAACGTCGTCACTAAGTGGTCCCTCTGTTTACATTTTACTACTTAAATTTATTAAAGAATTTGTTTTAGTTGCCTTTGGTTTTGTTTGGTTTGTTTTTCAACTGATAAACACAAAGAGTAATTATATCAGAAATTATTATCAGAACGTTTGTCATTCAGATGTAAAACTTCAATTCATCTTCATCCTAACGTACTTTAAGCAATTTGAAGCCCACATAAACATTCTTCTTAATTTAACAAGAAATCCTTCCATGAAAAATCGTTACAAACTTAACGACCTACCGATTAAATATGTTTTCTTTTTGACTTTCAAAGCGACAATGCCCTAGCGCATGTATATGGATTATCGTGCTGAAAGTCCTTTTTGGCTGTTATTAATTGAGTAGCTGCCTAATTCAAGTACGAATATAAATGAAATTTTCCAAAACGCCTATGTTGAATAAACAAAAACAAATGATGAAATTATCTCATGCATAACTTTTATAATTCTGATTTAGACACCCATAAAATTTCGCTACAGAGATCCCCAGTCCGTTTTCCATACCCACACTTGAGTGTGATATACCCGACGTCCGTGGTAGCACAAATTCTCAGACCTATCGCAGCCTATGATCATGATATCTCTGTTGAGTTTGCTATGACTACACCAGAGATCGCTAAAAGTATATATGAGATTGCTGATAGCATTCCTGAGCCTCTCAGATGTATGCTTTAGTTTGTCAGCAAATTGCTGTCGAATATTTGTAATAGGATGAAGCACAGACTCATGGGCCTCCATATTTCATCTAGCAGCTCGGATATGCGCTCCGGAGCCTCAAGTTTGTTTCTAGCAACTCCAATCATAGTTTCAGCATTTTGAGACAGGATTTTAGGAATAATTTTAGCTACCGTAGACATGGTTCTATCAATGGCAGGCATGATTTTAGCAACTTCGGGTGTTTTTCTAGCAGTATAAGTCAGGTACTCGTGATATGCGCCTAGGAACAAGAATTCATGTTTGATATTTTTGATTCACTTATATGAATGTCTCAATTCGAATTATACAAATTATAGATAGGACAAAAAGTTTACCTTTCGCTTGTTGCTGTAGCTACATGAGTTGCCGATTTTTTCATTTTTCGAGTGATATTGTGCAGTTGAAGCTTCACCTATATTCAAATTAACCATTTCATGATCATTACACTAATGTTTGCAGTTTTGTTTTTCAGATGAAAAATGTAATATAATTAGAAATTAAAGAGTAAATAAGCAAGTTCCTTTTCGATGCATGTATGCGAAAAAAATGTTGGGCGTTATGATGATGATGGAAAAGTTGGATATAAAATATGTACTGTGCACTAATAAATACTGAAATTTTAAAATATGTTTCGCTAGCAGAATGTATAGATTCTCGAAAACTTTCAGCAGATACTACTAGCAGTCTAAACATAAATGTATATGTCAATGAATTCAAATGAACAAAAGTCTAATTTTATTCTAAATAAATGCTACGTTTTTATGCCTAATAATTTACTTCCTTGTTCAATTTTGTTCGAAAAAGAATTTAAAAAAGAAAACAATTAGTCAATACACATTCTTTTGAATCGATTGTAGTCTCGCAATGCGTATAAATTATCAGCGAATGGATATGCAGCACCAATTAATTCAGCAACTGCAAAACCTGATATCAATGAAAGATCATGTCCGTTCGCTGGTGTAGCAGAACATCCACAAAAATACATTCCATTTTCCCCTTGCACTAATCGCATTAATAATGAAATCGCTTGATTACGTAAGGAAAGACTTGGATGTGCTCGTCGATTATCTACTGTGCCATAAATTTTCTTTTTATCAATTTGCGGAGCCGGTTGATCATACGGCGAATAAGTAACTAACATCGGCTCTATTTCACTCTGTTCTAAATTATTTTCTTTCAGCATGGCATGAACATTAGGCAACCAAGAACTTAAAATAAATGTGTTGTAATTATAAAATATTTGTTTCTTTTTATCATATTTAACATCAATATAATTTGCGTATTTACGAGTTACTTCATCGGCAAATTCATTTGGTAGAATGCTAATATCGCGATGAATAATTCCGTCCAATAGATTTGCATCATCGTCACCACTGTACGTAACATTTGATAACATTATTTTCAATAGTAACGAAATATTTGTATTACCATTTTTCAGTGCATTTAGTGTTGACTCACTATCGCAAGCAAAAATAATTCGATCGTATATGACATCTTCATTGTTAATACAGATCATAATTTGATTTTGCTGATTTCGTTGAATCCGAACACTTTTAACCGGAGACTTTGTTCTAATAGTAGTTCCCTGTGTCATTCGATCGAAAACATCTGTCGATGTTTGCAACCAAGCTTGCAGTGTCGGTATACGATTCGGGTCTAAAGATATTAATCGATCGACAGTTGGAAGAATTGCTGATGGAATGAAAGATAAGTTCGTTGATAAAAATGTCGTTGCATACATAGGTACAACAATATTATTCCAGAAACGTGTTGATATTCCAAATAATAAACTTAAAAGCCTCATTGAAATATAATTAAAAGGATTTAAAAGTGAAAAATGATATAGAGAGGTTTCTCGATCATGAAATAACTCAGATATATATCTCACAATATCAATCATACGTCTCCAACGCGTTAAATCAGTATTATATTGTTGAGTGTGCACGTCTTGTTTTGCATGAGCAAAGAAAGTATTTTCATCTCTATTATGAATAAAAAATGGTAACTCAACTGTCGTTGTTTCAATATTTAATGCATTTAATAAATGAATATAATTACGAAATACTTCCGGCCATGCTAATACAGAAAGTCCTGTTGTAATATTCTTATTCTTATTATTAATTTTCCAAACATGTGTTCTCGCATTGCCACCGAGTTTCTCACGTGCTTCATATATGGTCACATTTTTATATCCACTGCGAACCAAAGCATATGCGGCACCGACGCCTCCAATACCGCCTCCAACAATGGCAATATGACTATCTCGATTGAGTAATAGTGGTGCTGTGCATTTCTTCTTACCAAAAAGACGCGCTTTGACGTACGTATATATCGATAGTAATACAATGCGTGAAAATGTTGCGATATATTTGAACCAAAAAAGAACATTCATTTTACTATTTTGATATCATAGGGAAGATTTGTTGTTCAATTAGAAGTTAAATTCAGCATTGATCAGCCAATGAGTACAGCCAGGTGACACACACGTGTGCGATAAATAAAACGCACGTAAGGAGATGAAAAAAAAAGAATATTCGTAAAATTCTACAGGTGTTCTTTTGTAACCTTGAGTAAAAAACGAGCCATATTTTATTCACATTTTCCTCTAAAATGGAAGTTGTACCTCGTGTTGAAGTTTATGTCGCTTGTGATCAATATTATGACAGCTAGAGTAAATATTCCGATAGTTACAAACGAATTTCCAATCACTTCCTTGGTAATGCATGAGAAAATGTGATTAAGTTATGTCTCTAATTCCATTCTCGACGTACATGTATCAATGCAATGGTGGCTTCGAATAAATGTTAGTTTACAGCCAAAAAATATCGATTGAAATACATTTTCTACCGTGTAAACAGCTTCAAACGACTGAAGAATTTTTTTTTCTATACAGCTAAAGCTATTACAATGGTATCGCATTATTCACAAGCTGGTCAAATTTATCCTAAACTGTACCACGACCAACATTTGAATCAAAAATTATGAGATTTTTTTTCTTAGATTTATTCGAGATATTAATGAAAGGCGATAAACTGTCTAAGGCAACTCTTGTCTTAAAGCAATCTAAAAAGCAATGCTTTATCGTTTTTGGTAAATGTTATTTTGCTCAAGAGTGCATTCGATCTGTTGATCAGATCAGCATTACCATAAATAATCTTGATTTGTTAGCCTTTCTAACAACATCACAATCATCTAAAATTTACTGAGTTTTGAATTAAGCTGTCTTAATCTCAGAGCGATATGAAAGCTTTGAAGAAATCATATTACCTTCATATCGAGTGGAGGTATAAAACGACGAACAGATTATCAGTATCTTTTACTTCTTCTCATTAACCATCGTACCACCTCCACCATGATGAATTCAAACGCAATTAAGCCTCAAGAACAGTACGTACCTCCTCCGTACAATTACCCGCGATGGCAAGGACAACAACAAATGCCCGGACAAATTCAGTACGTGCAACCGTACGATAGTGCTGAAATTAATAATATACATGATTGGCTACCATGGTCGATTATCAACATCTTCATCGGCTTCTTATTCGCCGGCATTTTGCCACTGATATTCAGTATTGTGTGTCGCAATCGTAAACGAGAAAACAACGTTCATGGTGCAAGAGCAACGAGCACATTAGCGCTCGTCTTTAATATACTTGTTACGCTAGGAGGAATCGCTGGATGGATTGGACTCATTGTTGTCATTGTTATTCTTACTAGAGCTGTCGAAAATGTTGCTACCACTTCTTGTTTAACCTATCCATTTTGTCGTTAACATTTTCTTCTTTTAAGAACAACTACTAAAAGAATAAATGAGCGCTAAGACGTCCACAGGATTGCAGTGATATGTACTATTTGTTTTCCTTTTCATGAATCATACATGAATACCATTTGAATGTAGGAATTTTCAGAACAAAACACAGCCATTCATTCGGTCGGATACTACCAAATCTGTTTATGGAAACATAGTGAATTCTACATTAGTCGTATCGGAATGATAGAGATTTTCCAATTGAAGATTATTCAACTAGCTAAACGTTCAAAGTTCTGATAAATGATCAGTTCGAACGTCTACTTGGATAGCATTTCTATTCGATGGTAAATAGACCACTGCATATTTAGTGCAAGTATAATAGGTGCCAACAGAATCGGGCCTGCGCATAAACGAAGCATACAGAAAAAAAGTCACGATCAATTGCTGGAACATAGATATGTCGATTATTTGTATTTGGTAATAGTTTATTGCCAATAGATAATCTTGACACTAATCATTAAGTGTATAAAACTATGAACGAAATCATGCATGAAGCAACCCGCTGAAAGCTAAAGCTCGTTTAAGATCAGTATTCAATGGCGAAGAGAAACTTCAAGACCAGATGTTTGAAAATAATTTGACGAGATTTCGTGACTTGTTTTCTTTATTGAAATCTACGCCCACTGACATCCCTCTTATCTATTTCATTAATACAAAGTAAATATTGGATGTGGATAGAAGGAATGCACTAACATCACACGTCATCCAGCAAGACATGAGTGTATTCATATTTGTTTATTCCACTGATAAAGTTGCTCTCAGAAAATATATGACACTGAACAACCAGACGAAATTTTAGAAAACTGTAAGAGATGGTATTCGCCATAATACTCTGTTTTTCTAAAGCGTTTCGTGTTTTTTTATGTTTCGAAAGATTGTATTTTTAATTGTATCAGCGTTGAATAGATATTTCTAGAATTTAAGCATGGCCTATGTTGCTGTCTTACATCGAAAGATGTATGGTTTCAAAAGCGACGAATGTGCAGATTTTTTCAGGTTTGAATGAAAAAATTCATCCGCAATTTATTCACTGGTATTTTTCTTCAGAAGATAGCTTTCGTTCAAAAAAAATATAAAAATAGGCACCACCAGATGCAACCTATGAAACATATTTCTGTTCGAACATATTCTTTTGGATTTGATCCCAAATCGAAAAATGACGAGCCGCACCCGTATCAGATTTCAACTTGCAAGATCACTTGGTAATGTATCTGTTAAATGACTATATGTGTGATGACTTTGTTGGATTCCCAAGCGGGCGGAGGCACTGCTATGCATATGTCGAGTCATTGAACCATCATGACGACAAATCTAAAGAAATATTAAAGATATTTTTATTTGAATTAGATTTAACCAAACTATATTTTCATATTGAGATGTGCTTGATTCATCATGAATTGGAGTTTGACTGGCAATGATCGGCGTATTCATGAACGGAAAGTATCATAAGACGAAGTGGTGTTGCACAATGATGAGACATTTAACCTGATGTGATACAATTAAACTTGTATCATGACGAATATTATTCAGTATTGAAAATGATATTTTTTATTCCTCCATCACTTCCAATTGAATTTAGTGTTCGACCACCACCAGATGACGCTGGATTATTTAAATGTATTGACGAAAGCTAGTTGATGACGGATTTGAAGAAACTATCGATTCATCACCAGCTAATAATTTAATTTCGTGTTTTAAATACAAACAGACGATTGCTTTTAGTTTGTGAATCACGCACTGTTGCATTTCGATTTCGTTTTGTTATTGATTGAATTGGAAGTATTTGAAGTTTTCCATTCACATTTGTTATTCTCGTTTCTGTTGGCTGCAGCTAATTTCATTTCACCTGTATGTATACGTGGCAGGCGAGTTTGGAATAGTTTTTTTTTATGGAATTTTCATTGGGATCCAACGTTAGAAATTTCTATATTAATAATTATTCCTTGCAGTTTTTTACAATGCGTTTTTATATCAGTCATCGTATTCGGTTCACGGGCGTGTGTGAGCGTTATAAAACTTTGTTAAACTAACAACAACTTATTTTGAATGGATACAATTGAGTTTTCCATTTTTTTCTGATGAATGGAGACGCTAAATGATTCATTGAATATATCTGAGAAAAATAAATTTTGTATTTTTTATCTGTGTATGATAAATTCACTCTCTCTATTTTTTTTAATGACGATCAAATACAAATTACGGTGATTCATTGTTTTTTCTTTTTATTTATTGGAAGATTCCTTTCAAACCCATCGATCGTTTATTCAAATGTACCGAATTCACATTATAGTTGGTTGATGAATAAATATTTCCTTTTTATGTTTTATTTTATTTTTATATTTTTCTGTCACTATGCTCGAATTGATCCTTGCAGTACAATGTTAATGGAGAGAAGATGAAACAGGGAAAGGGAAAAAGAAAAGAAAAAGAGAAAGAAAAATAAAGAACAATAACAATATGAAGAAATTAAGTAACGTAAAGAAAAGAAGATGACCACGAACATATCATATCACGCGAACGAAAGAAGTATATACAGGAGAGAACAACCAGTGGATAAATTGATTTTATTAGCGTACGTAGAATACGTATGGCAAGAATAGAAAGATTTTTTGCGCAATTTACGATTTCCCATTAAGACGATTACGTCGAGTTAATAGAACTTTTATGGGCTTGGGCTCATAAACAAAAATGTTTCGGGGTGCTCTTGCAGGAGCTGCACCTCATCAATGTCGTAGAAAGGGATAGAGGACGAGCAGGTGACTGTTGCCAGCCACGATACTGCTTTCTCTAGGATCGAAGTGCATTCGATGAATCTCTTCGAACGGCTTAGACCTTTAATAGGAAATTCACCGTGAGTCCACGTCGTCCTGAGAACGTTCAGATTTGCTTTTTCTAGTACAAGTTCACCATCAACAGAATCGGCTAAAGCTACCATAAATATTTCCTTTTCCCCTCATGTTTATTAGAATAAACAAAGATAAACTTAAAACAGCATGAAATGGAAAAGTTTGTACTTATAAGAAATTCTTTATCATCATATTTTCAATCCTCAGCATTCGCTATTCAGTTACAGCTGTAAAAATAGAAAAATATCTATAACAATCATACATTTTGTCGCAAATTACGACGCACGTGCCACATTTTTAAGTGTTATGTGATAATTTCATTGATTGTGATGTCAAGCCATAAGTTATTTATTTTATTTCTCCCAGGCCAGAACTAGAATAAGAGAAGTCGATCAGTATGATATTGTTATTGAGAAGTCAGGCTATTAATAAGTTCTGGAATATTTGTCAGGAAACGAAAATTAAAAAAAATAGAAACAAACACAAATGTTGATTTTCTTAAAACTTATTACACAAATATTCATGTATCGATGATGACATAGCAGCATTTTTTCGAACTCAATTCAATATTCTCATGTTTTCACCATGTAGAAAAGTGTAGAGAGAGAATTTATAATTCTGAATATTACGCTAGTTCATTTCGGAAAAGCTGGTGACCTATCTACTTTTCAATTAAAGTCTTAAAATGATTAACATAGCACCATTAGATAGATGATTTATTAGCATGATCAGTTTTTTTATTGTCTTTGGAAATTTAGATTTTTAACGGCTTGGTTTAATTTTTTGCCTAACTCTCAATTTTGGCTGGCACATATACTATGAAGTAATTCCTTTTTGGAGTTCTACACTGCAAAGCGAGTCACGCTATGGTTAATGTTGCATGCACTTATTTACAAGAGCATGTTACACGTACATTTTGTTTTCAAAATTGAAGAGAAAACAAAAACATGAATAAGAACAATGCCGTTCGATTAAATCAGAGTAGACAACGAGCAGTAACTGAAAAACATACTTCACAATCCATCTGTTGTCGTCGAAAACAATCCAATCTGCTATTCAAAAAGAAAGATAAAATTCATTATTTTTTTCTACGTTGGTTTTCTAGAGACATAATCGAATAATGCCAACGAGTACGCAAGCTCTTGCTGCGTTTATGCCTCGCCGATATTCGCCTTTGGACGAAAACCAGGTATGAAAATTGAAACTGATGAAACAAAAAGAAACTGATAGAATGCATACTATTCTTTCTTAAAGATATTTACAAAGATGACGTTGATCATTGTGAATTTGCAAAGAAAACTGCCTATCATTAAATTGGTTCAGTTTGATAGGCAACATATGAATATATTCATGCCATTACTCTCGAACCCATATTACTTTTATTCTTACTACTTGACCTTTTTAAAGTCTCTCATAGAAATAAGAATAAAGTTCTTTTTTCTTGTTATCTAGTTTAAAATGAAATCCAGAATAATTGCCGTTTATAGAAATCTAGTGGGCCCATGCAGTCGATTTTCTGTCAAGTATCCATGGGAAAATATTTAAAAACTAACGATTAAAAACGTTTGTTTTTGCTAGTAAAACGCACTCTCATAGTCTCCGAATGCGAGCAATGAATGCAATGTAAAAACAGTCTAACGACGACTAAAAGCATCTTAAGAAGTACATTTTATCAGCAGAAAAATCCACTTATTATTCTTCTTTTTTTATTTCACTTTTCCCCATGGGTAATGTGAAACATGTGTAGACGATTTCATACAGAGTCCTGTTCTCCATAGAAGATTCAAAATCTTCTTTTACGTCAAAGTATATAACATTTTAAAGATCGTCTTCTGTTGTATCTTAATTGATTTGGAAATTTTTAACAGAAAGAATTTTCCAAAAAACGATAGCAATTTCGAAAGTTCGGGAAGAAGCCTTTTAGGTTGTTAAAGACCGAAACATATTTTGTTGATTTCACCGGGATCGATAATTCTGGGCTCTGAAAACGGTCGGATTTCTCTAGAATCTCCCGTAAAGGTGACGGAAAGATAATTGCATTATAGACAGAAACATGTCGAAATGTCATGTAACATGGAAGCAATATTCCGGCCTGAAAGTCTCCAGATTTTTTCAATATTTACGGCTATTTCCTAGTGGAAATGATAGAAAGTTGGCAGAAAGTCACCGGAATACTGTTTTCATGTTCCGTCGACTTCCAAAGTATTATTGACCTTCTATTTTGTAGAATTGCATGTTGTTAGATTGGGTATCCACGAAAAAGCAATGTCTAAATTTCACAAGTCGTTTATAAGCGTTTGCTTCTCTATTTCTCAATCATCGAAGAATGCTCTCAAATGTTGACGACCTTGAAGCTAGTTAGTATTTCTTTTTCATATTTATTCTTGTGATCTGTCCATGTCATGCCAATGAATGATATACAAATTCATGATGTTCAATTTGAAACGTTTGTTTGCACAGGGTGGGAAAGGACAATGCAGAACCTAAGTTCCTATAATCGTATAACTTTTACTAAAGATTGAAAAACAATCAAGAATCATACTCATCAATGTAGAATCAGCTATAGTGTAAAGTGACCCAAAAGCGGCTTCACAAAGGAAAAATATGAATATTATTGCCACTGTTTGGCTAAATGGACTGCTCTATTTTATCACCATTGATATAAAAGTGCGTCAAACTCAGATTTGCAGGAAAAATCTTGGAAAAAGTTCTTTAAAATACTAAGTTTTGATTTAAAAGAAATGGGCGAGCTATAAAAAGATTCATATTGCCAAAGACATTCCCAGGATAAATTTTCTTATGTATCACAACTTTGAACTTTTACGTTTTTAACCCATTTTCTTATTTAGAGCAACATATCTTCGAATAGATCAGTGAAAGATGTAACAGTTGATTTGAAAAAAGTATGTAACGTCTCTTCCAATACAGAGCAACAATTCGTTCGCAAGTATGTTTTGCTCATGGAATATGAAGACTTCTTTTTATTTTCATAAATCTATTCTTTCTTTTCTCTCAGATTGACCAGAGGTGCCGCGTCACCGAAATTAATGTATTACCTCTGTGCTATTATAGCAGTTTTGATGATAATCATTGTGGGTGTCATTGTTGTTGTACTAAAGTTTGCTACGGGAGACACAGGTAAGTGTATAATACTTTTGAAGCAAGAACGATTCACACTTGAGTGTGGAAACGTTTTGGGGAATAGAGTAGTACACCCTCTTGTCCATATAAAATGATAAGGACTACTGATTAATATCAAATTATAGTCAAAATTTGTCGATTTCATGTGTTTTCGGAGTTTTCAATAAACTACTTTCTTATACATCTTCTTAAGATAAAAACTTAGTTGTCATAGTAAAAATAATAGCCACAATGAATATAATGTGGGCGGCAACTGTTGCAGACCGCCTGATCATCAACATTTTGAGATGCTGTGTATACCAGTTGGTGGCGCCCACGTCGAATGAGGTGGCCCTAATATGTTTTTCTATACATTCATGATGTTCGTGGTCGAAATAGTGATACTTTGTGTTTTCCAGAATTCAGATATGTTTCCGCGTAGCCATCCACTCTCCGAATAGCCATTTACTTTCTTGGAGATTCGTATAACCCATCATATGCGATGATCTTTCTTAGTTCAAAACATTTTCCTATTTTCAATGCCCTATCGTGCTAAACTAATAGAGTCGCACATTATATAGAATATGCAATTGGCTTTGAATACTATATGAGTAATGAGAACGCATTATTGGAAATAAATTCTGAGGAGAAAAGTCTCCATTGATCAGCAAACAATCCGAATAGAGTTGATTTTTACGATTCGCTTCATTAATTAGAAGAATGATAATAATAATAATGAATACTTTTTTCTGTCACTATTGTGTGCACATTTTTGTTTCTATCTTAGCGTCAACAACAACAACAACAACAACAACAACAACAACCACAACAACGACAGAGACAACAACAACAACTACGACAGCAACTACGACGACGACAACCACGACGACGACAACTACCACTTCAACCACCAGTACAACGACGAGTACGAGTACGACAACTACCGCAACTACGACAACCACCACTTCAACCACCAGTACAACGACGAGTACGACTACGACAACAACGACAACGTCGACAACTACCACTTCAACTACCAGTACAACGACGAGTACGAGTACGACAACTACCGCGACTACGACAACCACCACTTCAACCACCAGTACAACGACGAGTACGACCACGACAACAACTAAAACAACTACAACTAGTGAGTACTGGGATTTATATTATGATATTTGTATAGACTTCTAAAAACTGTAAAAATAAAAGTCAATTGGTAGTTCGAGTTGATCTAGTTTTTCTCTAGAAAAATAGTCTTATTACTGACTTTATAAACACGCTTCATAAGCTACTAAACCAAAAGAGTATCTTAAATCGGACACACTCAAAATCGAAGACGAGCTGCTTGAGAAGCATAGTAACTCTAGTGACTGCTGAATATTATTTTTGGATTCTTAAACATCTATATATGTAATCCATATTGACGCAGCAGTGAACTTGTTATAAACATTTTTCATATAGCGACTACAACATCAACATCAACCACCACTACAACTACTGTTGGTAAGAGAACCTATTTCTCAATCAACATTATACAATCCCTATTTCTCTTCTTATAGTTAATGCAACATATACATGTGGAGAAAATACTGCCGTTACCATTAGCTGTAGTGGGTCGTACACACTTCATATTGTTCAAACATTGTATGGAGCATCGAGCTGTTACACGTGCTCATGCTCATACTGCACATGCTCCGGCATGACAGTCACATCATTGGTTACTAGCACATGCCAAGGACTTAGTTCTTGTTCCTTTACTGCAGGGAACACTTTATTTAATGACCCGTGTTATGGATACTCTAAAACTATGACTCTTGTATACTACTGTATTTAAAGCATGAACCTCCAACTTTCTCTGAACAATATGCTTTCGAAAACAATGCGCTATTATACACCGGCATTGATTCGACCTATACAGATCTACAGTTTATTGCACTCTAACAAAGTGGGAAAAGTTTGAATTGCACTATCGTTCACGATTTTTTTTATCCCTATCGTTCTTCTTCTTGGAAGGGTGTGGGTGAGGGCATTTCTTTAGAAAGTTTGCACACTGATAGTCACACCCCACACTCATATGTACTATTGGTTTTCCCTTTTATGAATCAGAAACGAATACGATTTAAATCAGCTCTGTCATCAATATTCATTAACATAAAAACAAACTCGCGTGATGATACATTAGTTAGGCATTTTCAGAATAAAAAATAATAGTCGTATTTAGCATGATAATGACTTTTTCACTTGAAAATTATTCAGCTAGCTAAAAGCGTATAATCCTGGCGGATATTGAAGACCAATTTTTGCATCTTGCGCATGTTGTATTGCCTCCACAGTCATTATTCCTGTGTGTATCATTAATCATAAAGTGTATCAAACTATGAACGAAATAAGTATGAAGCAGCCTGCTGGAAAATGAAGCTTAAATAGCATCGACGTTTGCCGATGAAGAGAAACTACAAGACCAGGTATTTGAATCAAACTTGGCGAAACCGTATTCAAGTCAAAGCGAAACATTGGCATATTTTTTTTTACATAGAAATATTGTGCACGAATAAAGTTCGAATATCTTAATGAATCTTCTACTTTCGGGATGATGATAGCAGCACGTGAAAGGGTAAAACTGCCTGAATGAACACTGTTTACAGTAATAGAACTGAATACAACGATCAAAATCGGTAACCACATCGGTAGGTTATACGCTGCTACTCAATGTTCCGTTGATTATATTTATTTGTGATTTTATACAGTTATTTTCACTTATATTTATTCAAATGAAAAACAAACCTGATGAATATAAACTACTTGAAATATCTATAGTATTTTTCTGTGAGATTCTCTGAAATGATTTAAGTTTACATAATCATATTACCAAAATTACTTATACACGATCATGAATGCATCATTTGAACACGAGTGGAATTTTAACATTGTCGTCTTATTTAGTATGGAACCTATACGAATTAAAAGTTGCTTGAATGAGTGAATGCTTTTCAAATGCGTCATTACTATTATTTGGGTGTGAGTGTAGGTATTTCCTTCTTTATCGATCACACCGACACTCGTTATATTCATCATTAGTTTATGGAGAGCTGATTGCCGAAAAGGAGACTTCAATGAAGGTTTCCTGCTTTTATTTGACTTTGAATGGAGTCTTATCACTGTGCGCTATATGCAAAATAATAGGGGATATATTCAAAAGATCGGTTGTTTGTGCACTATGTTTTTCTCACACTGTAGTCATGAGTGTCAATATAATCTGGCTGTTTTTCCTATCCGTTTAGATGTATTTCTCAATGTTGTATAATTACGTATATGCACTCTCTGGCACTCTGTCATTCTCTGATTTATATAGATGTCACCCCTAGAAACTAACAGAGCATGAAATGGCGAAAGTATCGCCTCCAAATTGATATTATACAAGTGCGCTGGCAGTTTTTGAGGAACTGGCGCATAGGCATTTGACGTATTTTGTTGTTCTCAAAATAAATGTTTATGATCCTAGTTTTTTGTGGTGTCACGAAGTATAAAAAGAATCATTTTTTTGGCATTACATAACGAACGATAGAACGCCTGTAACATAATTCAATTTTAAAACTAAACGAATGAGGGTAGAAGTCTTGCCGGCATTGATTACGTAGGACCATGAAACAATAATGCATCATCGTGCCCTTCGCTATCTTATTAGAAGGCTCGACCAACGTATTATACCATTATTGATAATACTCGAGATAAACAGATTTGGCTTTCAAGTAGCAAAAAGTATGCTTTTTTTTCTTAATTTCATACTCGAAATTAGATTTCAATTTTTATATAACCTATGACGTGATTCAATGAGTTAATTGTCCTAATATGCAAGATATATGAAATAGTTGCACTCAAGTTTCGAGTTTTGTATCATTGCTTTTTATAATTTGTTGCTACCATTAGTTCTACTAATGATAATAGGTCTTGTTCAACTCACAAGTTTCAAAGATGATGTCAAATTGACCAAAGAAGAGAGTAGCTGGCCAGCATCATTGTTCTATCAGGGTTATATAAGTTTTTTTAGGCTGTTGCCTGAGTCTAATAAATTCAGTTTTCTCGTTCAATATCAGAACAATTGATTATCACAATTAAAAAAGCCATTCAATTTTATCGAGACTACTCTTAAGCCAGTTCTATTAGAGCAGGCTGTTCTCGTTCAGAACATATACTCACCTGTACTATTTAATTAAATTAATCCTAAACATGATCTTTACATATAATCAGTCTGTTCTTTTTTTGCCGAATTAAAGACTCATGTAAATTTTTCATCGCTGAAAAAGCATTCGAGTTCATGAATATTCAACGTTCATCTCCTTTCATCATGTGACAATGTTTGTCTCACCTTGATATTAATTCAGCTTTTATTTTAATGCAAGCTCACGAGCTAAAATCTACTTGTATTTGCTTGATCATATAGAAGAGTAAATCCGGCGATAAATGACTAGATTTGTAGACTTGGTTCTAATAGAAAAACTAAGATTATAATCAAAACCTTTTGAAATAACCGCGATTTACCGTCAAATTTTCTCCAGTTTTCATCATATGATGTATTGTTGACTAATATCAACTCATATAATAATAAAAATACGTACATGAAATGTGAGAATAAATTCTTCGTAACCTCGATCAATAAAATATTAATTATCTTCAAGAAGTCCAGAACCCAGTTTTATGAACACATGCACTAGTGTCACTGAAGAAATATTTTATTTAACTATCATCTGTTTGTCGCCTATCAGTCTTAATTATTCTGAGAAATATCTCTTAGAAATTTGTCGATCGTTTTTTTTTACTCTTATTACAAACTATTTGGCTTAACCTTTCTTCGAGTTTGCTTACAATTATTTAAAAGCTGAAATTTTTTGGCTTTACACGAAGCTAGCCAATCGGGATGAGTTGAACAAACGAATAAGAGAGACAGGGATTGTTTTGTACGTGCTACGTTTCTTATTTAAAATTGCTTAGTACATTGTTAGAAACTTATTAAAAAGTGAATGTTGATTATTCACAAAAGATTTATCTTTACATTATCTCGTAAAATTTTGTTTGAAATAAGATCGAAAGCTGAACATTTCACGATTAGAATACATGCATTCTTAGGCAACTATACGGCGAGTCACATGTCTACACTTCTTACAAAATCAACAAAATTCATCTCTACATGTATCATTAACGATTTGTCACTTTCGCTGATTGTCCGTAGAAACTATTTTCCATCTGAAGGATTAAAAATGAGTTTCATTATTCTAGCTAGAGCATTGCCCATTATTGAGTTGCAGCTTGATGTGGTTCTTTCTAAATTTAATGAGATTTTGCTTTTGCGTGGTATTATGACGAGACTTACGTTTGATAGTATAACTTTTGTATTTGTTACTCATTAGTCCACTACTATTCTGACATAATATGCAACTCGACAGTACGTATAGCCTTGCTCTTCTTTGAACGCAGCGAGACGAGATGGAGTTTTGAAATACCTATCTAACAGAATCGAAATGCATGGAATCTAGCTAACACCACTGAGACAACTAATTCCAAGAAGATGCAGCAAATATAGGTAGCCGAAGTTAGAATTTTTTGACCGAAAACAAGAACAGCAAATTTTGATTCATTAACGAAAACAAAATGTACGTAATACACATGTTTTCTTCGATCTACAGTTCATCTTCGCCATTCCAAGCACTGTACTTTTACGACTTATTTGACCCACACGGTATTTATCCTTGCACGTGATTTCGTGGGGCGCAGTTGGTATTGGTGTGGCCTTCCTAAAGAACGGGCGTGGACTGATGAGTATTCAATTCGTTTTAGCAAGATATAATTTTGTCCATAGAATAGTCTAATGTATTCTTATTCCAGGGTGCAGCGGTATCCGGGTATGATTATTTAGCTTTCATTGTGGTATCGTAAACGGGAGCATTCAGGTGATTATATTCATTTCCTTAATACAATACTACAGTCATTAATCTGTTTGAGGTATATGCAATAAGCAAAATGAAGGGCATTGGTAATTTACAAGACTGGCAATGGATCTTTTTACTCGAAAATATACCAATCATTCCTCTTGCCATCATCGCTTATTTTTTTCTGAGTAATATTTCTGGTACTGTACGATGTAAGAATTCTAAAAGTAAGATACGCCATGATTGCTGTATCCTATCTGGCCGTGAAGAAAACCCGCGTTATGTATTTATCGCCTATCATTCAAGACATGGATTTCGCAAAAGACCATGTTTATCTAATGGCAATGGGACCCTACACTATTGCTTGTGTGTGTTCTTTGTTGGGCGGCTATATAGCAGAACGTCGCAATGAACATAGCTGTACTCTTGCCTTTTTACCTTCGATTGAGATACTGGATTTTACTTTAATGATGATTTCAGACGAATGGAGCGAAACAGTCTTGTATGCCAATGCATGTATTGCTTTTCTTGGAACATTTGCAGCCTTATCTATTCTACTATCATGACTTACGAGTAATGTGGGTGGTCACACAAACCGCATAATAGTCGTTGGTTTTGTTTCAGCGATAGGACAGCTTGGAGGAATAATGATATCTCATGTGAGAATAGCCATATCTATAGTTTAATAAAGGACAGTTCAATATATCAATGATATTTTTATTATTATATAGCTTTATCGTGAAGCTTCCCTGCTCAGTTATCTGAGACATAGGTGCGGAGTGGGTGTTGATGTGCAAGTGGTGGGATATTCTTGCGAATGCGGACATGAATATGACCGTAGGTGAACTAGATTGGATTCTAAGTATGACGACAGATATAATATCACGTCCTCATACTTCCATCACGCCAAGGATGAATTTATCACAGTATCATAGTCACCAAGAAAGCAGAAGGATTTTTAAAAACATATTTAGTGAGAGTGCAAAGGTTGCGTAACGTTCATACAGGATCTGTTTTCTCTGCACCCACACACCGTCACAGCTTAAAATATGTACTTTTTTATATAGCTGACGTGAAATGACGTACGGTCGGAAACGATAGTATACGTCAGCGTTTTCGGCCATGTACGATCGTTTCTGGTCGCCGTAATCTTCAAACTGGAAGGCCATTTATTTTTCGTTACCACGATTGACACGACTTGAAACAAAACTTGTCGCATTATCAATGGCTAGAGGAATAAGTATAGCCTTTGTGCATTGCACATCGGTATTGTATAAAAATTATTTATTCCAGTCTCAAAACAAAAAGACCAACATAAGAATTTCTTTTCTTTTTTCTCAAATGAAAGTCCATACGCTAATTATTGAATATTATTATATAATATTTGATAAAGCATTGGTGGTGAAACAATATCGGTCTCAACAAATGTCCCTAGAATAAAAAGAATAAAAGAATATTCAAGCAACAAAATCAAATCAATGCATTTAACCTGGTTGAATATTATTTGTTAAGAGGCGACTAAAAAGTTTTCCAGCTTCCACCTAACAGTTTAATCTTGATTCCGCCAGGTTCCGCCCGCCTGTCAAATACGTTTTTAGGAATATCCTTTTTATTATTTGCTATTTTATTTCATGATATCAAAAGGTTTAGATAAAACACTTGTAAAGATTTTTGAAGTAGAAACCAATAACAATCGATCATTGCATTTCAGTTTTATTCTTCGTATTCTTTAGGTTTTGATGATTGTGGGGAGCTCGAAATAAAAGAAATTTTAGATAACAAAAAGATATTTAGAATTTCTGAACCACAGCAGTACTCTTATCAATAGATGCAGAAAAGTCGAATTGTTTCTAACGATCAAAAATCTGTAAAGTTGCTTTTACGTTGGAATATAGAATGAATTTTGCTACATACGATTAAATCGAGACTCAACAAATTCATCACTATCAATATATCAGAGTCAGAAAACACTTCATATGACTGATGGTCTCACGTCGCTACGTTTACTATGTCAAGACTACGCATTGTAAATAATTTACATTAGTAAATGATCGAATATGAAGATGCAGCTGGTGGATAAATAATTTCAAACAAACAAAAAGTGAGATTGCATCCCGTCGTCTACTCTCCCTAGAAGAATCCTCGTGGAGTCATCGGGAGAGAGTGAAGTAGGGTCTACTCCTTAAAAAATTGCAATATCTATTTTGAGAGTCTTTTTTTCTGGCCAACAAATTCTATTTATTCTTTCTCTAGAGCTATTACACCATTTGTTAATAACTTTTAGTCAAAACTCTTAACAAGTATTCAATATACCACATAGAAACAGTGAAAAGTGAAGTAAATATCAACAATTAACACTCATACACATAAAGCACCTCCTTTTCAGTTAGATGCAATTAGATATTTTTATTTGCGCGATGGATCCCTTAGAAACGCATTAATTAAAATCAATAAACATCATCCGGGCCTCCCACCGAGAGTTTTTGAAAAAAGAGGAATAAAGAGGATTTATAATAGAAAAGAGGGAAAGTAGGAGGATGTTTTTTGCATCCTTGAAAAGCATAAGTAAAAGCATAAGTGAAGCTAAAACTCCAACATCGGGAAACGGATCCCTTTTTTATGTCTGTTTGATAGCTGTTATAATTATAAGTGAAGAGAAACGCTGGCTATTCAGGTGCACTTTTATTCAGTGTCTAATGCACACAGTACAAAGTTATAATATCAGAAAAGTAATACCCAGAAAGTTTCAATCTTTACAAAATACAATACGATTGAAGTTTAAGTAGTGCAAAAATTTACAATCCATCACAAAACGAAGTGCAAAACTTTACAACCAGTATCAATATGACCCTAACGTCAGCTCAATCCATTTTGAACAGACTTGAGCGCGAAGTATCTGAGATTTTGTTACTTGCTCATCGAAAGACAAGAATTTATTAGCATTCGTTAGTTCAAAAATATTTGTAGATGTTGATGTTGTCGTAGCAAATTTTAGTTATTATTCACGACATTCAAATTCGTTTTGTTTTTCGTTTAACATGTGCTGTGCAGTAGTCTTCCACCCCTTATTTGAACAATCTTGATCACTAGTGCGACATATTGCACAAATAAATGTTGTTTCCGATGATCATTTCTGTAGCTATGCTTTAACTGGCTTTTCGCTATCATCAGATTTATTCAACGACGATTGATTAAATTTTGTCTTGTGATCAATCATTGAATGAAAAAATATCAAATTATGGGAGATTTCAGTAGATTATAATCGGATTTTCCTGCACCGAAAGCCAAATTATGGTTGGCTGAAATCTTCGAAATCAACGATAACTTGATTTTTAATCAAACAATAATCTTAAAACTCCGGGAAAACTTTGATTAAAATCGTATTAAATCCATATTATATGAGTTTAAGCAAACATACATTATTTTTATCGAAAGTTAACAAAATTTTGAAGGTTATTGCTTGATTTAAAAATCAAATTATCGTTGATTTCGAAGGTTTCAGTCAACTATAATTTAAATTGGTGCAGAAAAATCCGATTATAATGAGTGATGGCATAATCTCGTTACACCGAGTAACGACTTCGATACTCCAATGTATAACTATATGTTAAAAGTTGAGGAATTTGAGTTGTTTTGGTGTAATGATTTTTTCGGTAACGAAGTCATTGCCCAAAAAATCACGACGGGAGGTGATTACTCCTGGTAGGAAAGGCAAGGCCATATATGCCTCTCGATACCCTGTGTTAGGGTATTATGACATCTATGATTATAATCGACTACAATTTCGCAAAATTTGATATTTTTTCACTAGTTTATACGGAAATATTATCCTTTTTTTTAATGTTACAGTGAAATAATAATGTAAGACGATTGCGCACGATTAATTACTATCGCAACCCACAAACCCGAAGAAATTCAAGTAGAAAAAAATAAGGGGTTGATATCATACAGCAGTGACTCATTAATAAAAAACAATTAGTATCACTACAATTAAGGGAAATGCGCTACGTTATATTGCAATTAAATTAGGGATAATTCACACAATCTATACATGTTCATTTTATCTTTATTACTTCTCTTTTTTTTTGTAGAAATCGATTGATTTTATCGATCACTTTTCATTGAATGTTCGAGTGCTCGACTATCTTGATGGAACTGAATTCCATTTTAGCTCTTTGTTCCATCTCCCATAGTTGCGTGTACTATATGTTAATAGATCTACCGCTATGTCGTTGTGAAAAAAATCACGAAAGAAATATGTATTTACAGGCACACATTAGCCTCTTATTGCTGAAAAATCTATTTGTGCTAACAGTTTTTAAGCTCACTCTAAACTTTTATTAAAAAAGAGGCTAAAAAGAGGATTTAAAAAAAGATAGAGGAAAAAGAGGCAGAGTGGGTGGCCAGTGACATCATCGTATATGTTCACAGTACAACTACTGTTGCATTTTATGCTAAATCATTCATAAATGCGTCACGAAAAGGCGTTTCTTTTCGATTATTCTTTTCATTTTCTCTTCGTTTCTTATTTTCGAAAACATGCTATGTACTAGTATCGGTCTTATTTAAAGAAGAGTATTTTTTTTCTCATACACAAGGCGATTCATTTCGAAAGAAAAATCTATTTCTATTGACCAAAGGCTTCGTATTTAACTAGAATAGGTAAGCAGCTATACAATTCAAATTGAAAACCTACCAAAACACGCAAAAATGTAAGCCTAGTTTTTATTCAAATATGAATCATCAGAAGTACACCAGCAGTTATTCAACATCCTATCGACAGGCTCAAACAAATCACGAGTACAAACTTTGTTTTTCAGCTCGTATAATCCTTTCCTCTCAGTCTTCAACTATCGTTACTTACGTAGCATGTGAAAGTCTACACATAAGCGTCATATGCTTTATCTACACTTAAACTGAAACCAGACCGGCCAGTTTACGAGAAAAAAATAACAAGTCGTCAGAAAAAGCATACAAACGTCTGGTGTACTTCTCGCCTGTCGCTTCTTTTAGATTTACATTCTTTTAATTACTCAATGGCTGAAAAACGAGCAGGTAGTGTATCCTGCCATTTACCTTGTAGTACACCATCAGTAGCCATTTGTGTCGCTTGTAATCACCATTTTTGTTGGAATCACTTTTGTGAACATCGTCAAATCTATGAGAAATATCTTGATGATGCTCGTAATAATCGAGAATCTTTATCGAAATGTTTGATGGAAGTTGAAGATGTTGCAAATAGGCTTCGGGTGAGTATCGATAATTGTGAACGCCAAGGAATTGAAGATATTCGCCAATCAGCTGATGATGTAAGAAAAACACTGGAAAATCATATAAAAAATTGCCAATCCCATTTTGAAGAAGAATCCTTGACTATAATGGATCATATGTCAACAAATCAAAATGTTCAATCGATTCAACTGGAAAAATTACAAAATGAGTATCGTCATGCATTGGAAAGTATACATATCGTGCAACATTTCGATCGAAGACGTTCATTAGATATTGAAACGACAAATCCAACGAAAGAAACCTTCTCGTCAGAATCATGGAAGAATGTAATACCGTTTTGCAATCCTGACATGCCCAAGACAAGATTAGGAAAACGACTTGTTGAAAGTCCTCTAGCCGAAAGCTCTGTAGGTAATTATTGGGCAATAGGTGCCTCAGATGAATATTTACTCGCACAAGAATATGAAAACAAGCAATTGACATTTTTCGATCGCCATGGTAAACGTGACATTTCGATGACTTGGCATGATGATGTAGTGGTAAGTATATTCTATTGATTGTGATAGCATTCTAATACAAATGCACCCACACCACAAAGCAATCACGGAATGAAATAGTCTAGTTTTCAGATATGCGTATCAATTAAAGAAACGAAGTAATTTAAAAACTGATTTAGAAAGTGCGTTTTGTCAGGAGCATCTTTTCATTCGTAAATCGTATCACAGAGAAAAATATAGGTCAGATAAATGGAATGATGTTGTTCTGTTCTCCAAAATAAAAGTAATAGCCGTAATACTCTCGCAAAATTCTACTTTTCTAACAGTCACTGCATTTAAATTTAAAAAACAAAAACACTGACATCTATTAACGTCTGCTTCTGTAGAGTATCAACTGTATGCGTGTTATAGAGTTGATATTGGATCTTTTCGATCTCATATACTCATTACTATTGTGTGCATGCTTAAAGATGAAGTTAATAATTTCTTCTCTTAAAATAGGTTCGTGACATTCAATGGAATGAGGATCTTCGGCAATTTTTTATTTTACTCGATAGAAAACTCATCCTTTTCGATCCGGTAACAAGACTTTTTCAAGAAATCACTCGTATTACGCCATATCAAACGAACACCTTTCGTCGATGTACTTGCAGAAATGATCGTCTATTTATTTCGTATTGGTGTCAAGAGAGTGCCGTCGAATTGATTCAAATTAGTTCATGGAATCTTCAACAGCGATGGTGGAGTCCTGTAACGTGTTGCGCAAATGAATTCATCACATGTATACAGTTGAATTCAAAAAATCAACTGGCTTTGAGCATTCAAGATGAAAATAATCCGCTTAATCGGCGATGCCGATTTGAACTTCGCGATCTTACTCTGAATTCTCTACGTGTTGTTTCTCTCGATACGGACTTGGGTATTTTTTCACGTATGGCTCCGTTGCCAGATGATTATTGGGCTTTATTGAATGTCGATAACAATCTAGTTTTTATTCTCGATGAACAAGGTGGCGTGCTAGATAAAATTGGCCTTTTTCATGGGCCATTACACAATATTGCTTTGATCGGTAAACATACTATTGTGATTCGTGCTGTCAAGAAACTACTCTTTTACGACATAGAATTTCGTGAAGAACGACCACGGTAGTAGATTTTCAAAAGCTAAGACTGAATTTTATGTTTACTAGTGTGTACTTTTTTCCACCAATACTATCGATCAGAGATCCATTGATCTCGATTTTGTGTAAACATTCACATTAATTGTAATACTGTCTAATAAAAACAATTCTACCTCAAATTAATGTATTTAAGAGTTTCTTCGCTCGAAATCCATTCACAAAAAGTATATCATGAAAGTCTCGATTTCTTCCACAAATGCAAAAATATCGTATACAAGCAAAAAGTATGATCATATGTATTGAAACATACAACTCGTTTACTTGATATTTGGCTGTACAGAATCTCTATCATAAATTATTCATGTTTTCTAACAAAATACATCATCCGAGTGTCTTAATTATACAAATTAGTTATGAAGATAGTTCAAAATCTAGATGAATACGTGATTACTTCGACATTTTCTGACGGAATCGAATCCTATTTAATGTGACTAAATATAATGAGTTCCAACTGTATGATTCAAAAATATATAGAGAGAGTATGAACAAGGATCTCATCGAAAATTGCCTTTCAGTCATATACATATACATAGAATCTCATCTATATAAACAATCATTTGATGGGATAATATCAAAAGACGATACAGAGTTTAAATCGAATGAGAATGTCTCTTCGTAATAAAATATTATATCAAGCGGAAAGAAATTGCTTTCTTCATTTCAAAAGATTTAATCGATGTCATATGATTACCTATTTATTTTTAGCTAATAAAATCAATTTCTTCCCCATTGATTGAATGTGACGAACAATCATTTCTAGTACTTGCTATAAGTTCTATACATCTGTTCAGTTATTTGTGTTGAATTTAAATTAGATGATTCTACATGCTGAGTATCCTCTTCCATTAATAGTAGAAAATACTCACCAATAAATCTATCAGTTAAATCAAAGTATTTCCAAGGTGAAAGACTAACATCTGGCATTCTTGCTGCATTCAGTCACAATGTTGCTAATGTTTGACTTCATATCAATGCCATTGAGCATTCTATTCGACAACATTTTATTCAATTTACCGATAAAAGCAATTGTTTCTTGTTCAGTCCAGTTCTTATAACGCTTCATCGGTGTCAATTTTGTTAGTATAAAAGTGATAGAATTACTTGAAACTGTGTTGTTGTTTCGCTTAAATGAAGATTTTAGTAGTTGGGGATCGATTATGGTTTGCATAGATTATTGATAAAGGCTATTTTAAAAGGAAGTTTGTTCGTATTCTACCAAAAACTATCATTGAATCATATCTTTTTCTAAATACGGAAATAGGAGAAAATAATAAAAATATTTCTTGGCCCGAATAAAATCTAATGGTCTTACGTATGTCTAACGTGGTAACACACAATAAAGGACCACGATACGAAGTCGTCAACAAAAATTTAACACAGGAGCTGTTGATTCGATTTATTTTTCAGATATTGCTATATTATAGGAAAAATCAGTTGAATGTTTTTAATGCGGTGCGAAGCACTGCATTCATGTAGTTCGTCGCGAGTTATTTTTTGTTTCTTTCTAACTTGAGTACGCATAAAAGTTCTGATAAAGTGACGCGATGATCTAGAGAACCGTTAATGATAGAAGATCCATTCTAACTAGATATAAAAGTATCGAGATCGAAGTTGTTGCGTCTTTTTGCCAATTCACAATACTAAGTCTCGTTCGCCTAAAAACTTGATCCGAAAATGATGATTTTGAATGATTTTATTGTTATCATTGAAATAATTTAATGTTCAATCAAAAATATTCTCTAGGATTATGGTGATAATCACGAAAAAAAAATGTTTTCTCAGCAATGAATTCTATTATGATTACTTGAGAACTAAAAAAAATGTAATGATTTTTTGTTTTTTATTACAACTGCTGAAGACAGGAAAATGTGTATATTTCAAGCGAATATGAAACTAATCAGGCCATAACGAGGTCTAATTAATTTTAAGATTGCTTGTTCCATTTCCGTTAAATTTTTTTATTTTTTCGTGTACTCGACTCGTGCTTCGCATCGCATTTCGTATACGAGTGAAACTCGAACACCATCTAGTTGTTATAGATGATGTGACAAGAGTGGAATTTATCTATCGGATGACGAAAACGGTCATGACAATCCGTGTTTTAGGATTAACTGGCTCGTCCAAATACAGTGGAATAAAATATGGCGACACTAAATCTGTATTGGTGCGCCACATTAGTTGACCTTTTTGAGGTTTCGAGATGAGTTAAATTTTGTTTTTAATTTCAAACCAATCTGATTGCTTAATTCAATACTAATCGTCTTATTGTGTGCAAGACAATATTCCGTCTAACTACTATCATTGTGACTGATTGGCGTCAAGATACAATGGCCTTACCTTCATTTCAGCTTTGCGATATTTCCTCATGTATACACGAATCGTACACGATGTGCCATTGCTGTCATTTACAAATTTGTGCAATGAATCCAGATGAACAGAAAAATCGACTTGATCCTCAAGTAACGCTGCTCGTCGATAAAATCGCTGCGCTCACTAATCGTATCTCTTCATCTGATTTACCTTTTCTCGTTGCTCTCGAACAATGGCGTGTTGAATCACAACAAACACTCGACTCCTACTACCATGAAAAACGTCAAAACTTTCTCAACAGTCGGCTAGAAGAATTCAATCGCTTGCGAACCAGTATCAAAGAACTAATACGTATGACAGCAGCAACACAAGAAAACATTACTACAATGAAAACATCAATTAATTCGATTGAAAAAGAATTAACTCAAGTTCAATTCAACTTTCGTCCACTGTCAATCGATGATAACCTAATTATTCGATGCACACAAGATCTTCTACCTTTTCCACCATCACGTCAACAGATTGAACTGCCTGATTGTTCGTATGCTGTATTGGCTAGCAATAAACAACACTTGTTAGTACATCGAGAACCTACTCTATGCTTATTCGATCGACAATTGACCATTATCAAAGAGACACCGTGGCCTCTAGACAATATTTCTGATATTTGTTGGTCGTCAATACTCAATCGTTTTATTGTTGTCAATTGTAAATATGTGTTCATACTGGATGAAAAAACGATGGTTCTTGAATTACTTTTATCGTCAGATACAGTCAATTGGATACGTGGGACATGTTCAGACACGATACTCTACTTATCAACAGAAGGAGTTGGATCATCTATCTTCGAATATACTCTCATGCCATCAAGCGTTTTGCTCAAAGAATGGCAATCACCGATGACATGTACAAATAATGAATGGATTGAAGATCTTAAATTTCAGAATGGCTTCCTCGGTTTAGTTATAGGTAGCTGTACAAACAGTGATGCTCGTCTCGAACTTCGATCGTCAACGACACTTATATCTCTATGGTCGATTCAACTCGAAGAAATATATTCAATGTATCCGGTTCGCTGTTGCCCAATTGTTGATCAGCAATGGATGGTAGTTGCTTTTAGAAATCCAAAAATCTTTCATATTTCTAAAGATGGACAACTTTTAAACACGGACCAACAATATCGATCACCGTCAAATATTTGTCAAATAGGAAACGATTTACTTGCCATATGGGATCGAAAATGCATTTTTCTTCAAAGTCTCTTTTGAATATTTTGTTGTTGTTGTATGATTTAGAGTTCAATTGTTACTGTTATATACGTTGTTCTCTGAAATAAATAGGAAAAAACTCTTAAAGAGCTGTTTTTAATTAAAACAGATTAATGCAACTAACTCACATAGTTAATTCTACCTATTGAAAATATTCTCCATTTTGATTATACTAGTAGTATAGACGTTGTTGTAAGAAACACAAAATTCTATGATTTCCATACGAGTCTGATCAGGTAAGAAAAACAATCAATTGCTATTGTGCAGTTTTTCAAAGTGCTTATTTGACGATATCGATCATCAACTGTCAACTGCTGTCTGCAAGTTAGCGATGTTTCTAGAATGAGCACGCGCTCTGGATGTGATTTCATCTGGATTATTAGCTGTTGATTACAATGAGAAGTCATAAAAATCAAATTTTAAAATATGTCGATAGTACTGCATAGATGCTATCAATATATGGAAATTGATGGAAAAATTATCCGAAAGATGATCACGCCTTTGAATCATCTCATAGGTTTTATTGATTTTGCATTTGAAAGTAACTGGAAAGATAACTAGAGATACAACGCACACTCTTATTACGTTTTCCTATTTATTATTGACGATTTCAACTGTCGCAATCCAACCTGTTTATTCAGACATGAAGAGTTTTCATAGAAAAAGAATAATTTCTTTTTTTCTCCTTTTTTCATCACTCCTCGTTTACTCTTCCTGTAGATGTGTGTTGTTGTAACACACATTCTTATGAAAAGAAAATACGTGGTAAAGCAAACAGAACTGTCATAAACAACGTTGCTACGTAGGAAATTGTAAGAAACGAGCTACTTGTAAAAAAAACCGAAGAAACACTCCAAGTTAAAACAATCTTCTCCACAACAGTCACAGCACGTCATTGATTTCAAATTCTTGTTTGTGGTAAGTTATTATAGAAAATATTCAAAAAATAGTCTAATCGCTTATTAATTATTTCAGCGACCAGAAATCAAAATCAGTATAATATAAGCTTCGAATTAATTGAGAGTACAGATGAAACGAAATAAAGTCACATTGGTCAACTTTAGATATAGATAAATGTAAGGATGAGAAAGCTTCTACTAGCAGTAGTAAACGTACATTTCCTCTTGTAAATTGATTTAACACCATATTCGAGGTTTTCAGGTTTACATCTGTTTTTTTTTGATTTACATTAAGTCATCAATTGTTTGTGTAAGGAACATAGTTCTATGTCCATGGTTTCTGAAATCTCTTATATTTAAAATCGGTAGAGGGCTAAACATTACAGTAAATCAATTGAAATGCCAGATACTTCAGAAAGGCATCAACAGTTGGTTCTCCGTAATTACTGCTACACAAAACTTGAGGTTATACCATCCAACATTTCAAGTTTGACCTATATGGTTTCCTTCAGTGAAACGTCTTTTGATTCACCGACGCAAGGGCATATCTTATATTAGAGAAAGTTAAAATAGTTTTTCCTAAGAATTGCGGAAGCTTAATTATATTGTCATCGTTTTGCATAGCTATCGCTGTTTTTATATGCAATTCTTTATAATTATTCTAGTACGTCGCTTTACGGCCAAGTGAATCGATTATCGATGAGCGCTACTTGTAGAATCAATCGTTTTGGTGATATTGATACTTCCAATAACAGACGTGCGCCTGTTTCTGATTATCGTAGTGAAAAACTTGTTTCTATTGAAAAAGCGCTAGAACCTATCGTACCGTACATTGATCAACTGCCACTTCACATTAAAAATGCTAAACAACGCTGTCATTTTCCATCAGAACATGGACTAACAAAAGATCAGTCAGCTGCTATCTACATTTATACGATGGAATGGGATGGTACTACATTGTATCGTGTATTAAATAATGTATTGAGATCAGAAAATGAAGTAGCATTAAAGATGTGGTTTCCATATTTGCAACTATTTAATACAGCATTGGATAAGTTGCCTACTGTCAAACAAGCAGTATGGAGAGGTGTACCTCTTGATATTGGTAAGAATTTCACCAAAGATCAAACTGTAACGTGGTGGAGTGTTAATTCATGTTCATTATCACCGAAAGTTATTAAAAATTTTCTTGACAAAAGTCAGAACTCAACTCTATTTTTAATTGAAGCTATTAATGGAAAAAAGGTTTCTGGATATACAGCATATGAAAATGAAGATGAAGTCATTTTACGAATCGGTACCAAATTTCGTGTACAAGGCGATCCATTGTTTCAATCAAATGGTTCATACATTGTGCATTTAATTACAGTTGATGGTAACAATGATCAAACAACAGCATCAAATAATACTGATACAAGTCGTAAGCTATTTGTACTTTGTCTCTATTAAATAAAAAAGTTTATGACGACAAAATATATAAAATAATTATGTAAGAATAAATCTTTCTTTAAGAATTATCTTTATCATAAAAACTCAAAGATATCAGCACGAATGCTTTCGGATTTCTCTTCGTCACTACCATGAATCATTCTCGTATGTTCCTAAAGAGTCCTCTGAAACTTTCTGATATATCGTCCCCGCAAGTTCTTCTAAGGATTACTAACAAGAATCTTCAGTTTTTCTATCAACTGATTTTAGTAGAAAGAGTTTCCCTACTTCTAAGCTAGATGATATCAGTAGTGGATTCTGTTATTAATAGACTCGGTCATGCCATATGAGCAGATTAACAAAGATATCTGGAAAACAAATTCCACGGTTTTATATCGTCTTTCTAATACTACCACACAATAGAGAATGAAAGATCTCCTTTAGTTTTCGTTTCTTACAGTTATGCCCAATATTCCTGCCAATGCCAGATGGACACAGAATGGCGTGACTGTTGCTGGAGGCAACGGAAAAGGCAGTGCCACAAATCAACTCTACTGGCCTTATGGTCTTTTCGTTGATAAAGATCAAACAGTGATCATCGCTGACTGCTCCAATCATCGTATCCTACAATGGCAGACAAGTGATAGGAATGGGCGAGTCGTTGCTGGTGGTAATGGCTGTGGGGATGGATTGAATCAATTACATGGTCCAACTGATGTGCTGATTGACAAAGAGACCGATAGTCTCATTTTATGCGATGAATTGAATCGACGAGTCGTACAATGGTCTCGTCATGGTGACAACCCACAAAGAGAAATCCTCATTGATAACATCAAGTGTTGGGGATTGGCTATGGATTATCAGAGATATCTCTACGTTTCTGACACCGAAAAACATGAAGTAAGACGATATCAATTGGGAGAAAAGCGTGGTACTGTCGTAGCTGGTGGTAATGGGCAAGGTTCTGGTCTCAATCAACTTAGATATCCGACTTATCTCTTTGTCGATCGACAACAGAATGTCTACGTAGCAGACAATGAGAATCATCGGGTAATGAAATGGAATAAAGGTGCAAAAGAGGGAACTATCGTGGCTGGAAGCCAACGTGAAGGAAATTCTTCAACGCAACTATCTGGTCCCTATGGAATCTTCGTTGATACACGTGGCACTCTCTATGTGTCAGATTCGGGGAATAATCGTGTGATGCGTTGGCCTCAAGAAGCGAAACAAGGTACTGTGCTCGTGGGTGGAAATAGCGAAGCGGCAGAAGCAAATCAGTTGAATGCCCCCGTTGGTTTGTCATTCGATCAACGTGGCAATCTCTATGTCGTCGATTGCAAGAATCATCGTGTACAACGGTTTTCTATCGAGTAGACTTGTGAATTGTATTGATTGAAAATGAGGATGTGGGTGTGAGAGCTACGAATTCTATTGATATGTATCCTATTGCAAATTGTTTGCTCTGTCCCGGAATGTTTATCCAGCACTGAAGGATCTAAGAAAAATTCTTTTTACTATATTTAAATTAGATAATATCATTTTGTTGCGGTTGTAGAACTGAGTTCCACAATTACATTTATAAAATTAAAAAAATTCACTTTTTTCTTGACTTTGTTGCTTGTGGATAGAATTACTCTACCATCTGATAAATGGCAATGATGAAAGAAAATGCATTTGTATTTGCAAGGTCATTTCTCTTCTTCTTCTTAGGTTCTTGATAGAATATATAAAGTATTTGCTTTTCGTGATACAACTGCGTATGAAATACGAAAATATTCGACATGAGACAAACAATATTCTTGCTATTGTTGTTATTGACTTTATTCATTAATGAATGCTCAAATCAAATACGTTTTTCCAAGCAATTTCAAACAACATTGAATATAACTGGATTACAGTCATGGCCATTACCAACTTTTGGTCTTCAACAATTATTGTATGATTTCACAAAAATTCAAGAGGCCAAAAGGTGCTGAAAAGGATACAGTAAGTAAAATGAAGTGTCTCTCGTTATGGATGAAATATTTGGATTTGCTTTTGATAGCCTGATTCACAGGGTTACACAATGTTCAACTTCAATCCCGGTTATCCAGAACGAACAAAAGACCGCAGTTTTTATTTGTTTTTCTTTTTTGCTGAATAATTGTTGGTACAGAACAAATTCAATGCAAGACACAGGCCCGTTCCCGATAGCATGGTTTGGCGATGGTTTAAATCTCCGTGAAATTCAACCATGGTTTCCATTACCATCGAATCTTATCAATAAGGGTGAAGAATGGATACCAGAAATTCATGACTATGCAGTAGTATGTCAGCCTATTGCGAGAGAGGCAGCCTACCCTGACATTAAATGATGAAATAATCATAGACGCTTTGTTATTTCTAAACATAGACGGATTAACATAAGTTTTCAACATTGTAGGGCATGTTCCAGAATCAAGTGTCTATTGTTACGTGATAAAACACTAGACTTATTCTATTAGTTATTGGAAACCTAGAGAATTTTCATGTTTTGCTCTGTTATTTCCAGTTTTGTATAGAAAGTTATTAGTCTTTTTTTTTAATTTTCCTTTCTGAGTATTAAAAAATAGAGACAATGTGCTCAATTAAGAAGCATATAGTTCTGATTAAAGTCACTAATATTTATTCGACTAAATAACATGTAATAAATGTAACTTTTGTCATTCTAGAGATATGATTCACCAGAAATATGTAATTTACGAAAATCTGGCATTGGTGAAGTTCCTTGTCTTAGTTATTTGGAAACACCTGATAAACCAGTAAAAACTATTCAAACCCATGCTTGTCGACGGGCTTATGATCCAGATGAGTAAGTGTAAAGGGATCGACATAGTATCAGGAAAATTTTCAAGAGATTGTACTCGTTCTTTGCTTTTAATTAAAACATGTATTATCCGTTCAGAGGTTCAAGTATTCTGAAGGATCGATCATTGATAAGAAGTGATATGTAGATGTTGTGTGCGTGAACTTTTGCAACAGTCCTTCTAATGTGTCCAAACCCTTTATATCGTATGTCTAGAGAGATAGTAACGAATTGCCTATATATACATAGATATTTAACATTTGTGGTTACTCCTGATGGTTAAGATAATTTAAAATTAACTTTACCAACGCCACTAGTTCATGCGCCCAGTGATCAAGTTACAGTTGAATTTTGTAAAGTTGTTTTTAATCGAGCGAATTGGCAAGTACCATAACAAATTAACGTGCCATTTGTTGATTATGGTTGTTGTTCATATGCAATTACAGAAAACGGTGGTGGATACGATTGGTAATACACAATCCCAACAATTGCTGTTTACGCCTGTGATGGTGAGGCCGGGCATGCTTGCAAAGATATAAATACATGTGGAGCTTAAAAATATTGAAAAAAACAGAAGAGTCATACTTAAGGTACATACACATGTATGCGATAAAAACAACTATATTTAAAATTAAATTAAAAAATACAGCCAATGGGTGTGAGTCTAATTGAATTATCTCTTCATCCATACCCCCGATCACGCACACTGAAGTTTCGTTGAACATATTGTAAAGGGCACTATCACGATTATCACACTATATGGGAGATTTCTTGTGATATTCATCCTGAAAACTCTTCAATTGAGGTTCAGACATGCCTTTGATTGTTATGGCAATCAACAACCAGATCACTTATCGCTTTCGTATCATTGTTTTCGATTTACAATACTATTTCTTTGGACAGCATCGAATACATGTAGGATGACTCCAATTGATCAACATTTTATTCGCTTGAGGTTGTGACTGCTAAGATTTCGATTGAAACGAAACTCATCACTATTGCGTTGTGACCACATTCACGACTGTTCTATGTTGTGGTCGAGAATGTTGAACATCATCAGTATCCTTGTCCGAATTGACATTTCCATGATACTTTTTGAGCATGATCGAAATACTGGTGAAGATATTGCATTATTAGTAGTGACAGTTCTATTGATGGCTTGTTTTTTATATTATTGAAACTTGCTTTGTACTATGTTCGGCACAGCTTGCATTCCTAGCTACACATAGTATGTATTTATGAACATTTACTAATGTAAGTAAGTAAGAAAGAAAGAAAGAGTTCTTTTAGATGACTGGAGCATCAGTCACTAGAACAATTACAGTCACACCCTATTTTGTTTCAACACATGGAAATATCCCCCTTTGGAATCAGTGATGGAACCGGTTCGGTTCGGTTCCAAATGTTCGGAACCGATTTCTTTTATATATATGTTCTTATATATTTGTTAACTTGTACACTAAAAGTGAATGAACAAAGTATATCTATATCGGCTGATGGAATATAAATGAATAAACTAATTGCAAGTAAACTAACTCATCAATCATTTTACTTATTTTATTCAAAATGATTGATGAGTTAGTTTACCTTGAAGACAGTATAGCACATTTTTATGATTTAACCAACTGTTTCATAAATCTTGAGCCATGAGTACTATTTTTGTTCATGACTCAGTATATACGTTTACAGACAACATTTAGGTAAGAAGCATTCATATATATAAACAAATATTAATTGATTACCAATTTGTATTAGTTTTTAATTCGCTAATTAAACAATGCTCTGTTTTGAACTTAAAAATAATCTTAACATATAACAAGAAAGTTAGAAAAAAGTATCCAAATTGTGGTTATTACTTCTGAAACTGTAAAAAAACGATATCAAATTTAACATTTTGACAAAATCGTTATATTTTGAAGGGCAACTTTTTCATTTTTCAATAGATGCGTTTCCCATCATTATTAGGTTACTATTTTCGACTGCTTCGTCAATCCGAAATGATGAACTAGAAAAGTACAGAGCAAAGGCTGGAAAGCGTAACATATATCAATTATTTCTCAAAGCCTAGTTTATATGAAATTTCCACACAGCGTCCTTCAATGAATAATAACCTACTAGTTGAAACAAATTCTAGTCTTTACACTGAACGACGAACAAAAATGTAGTGACTCGTCCTTGATTAACAAAAGATGGGCATCCACTAAAAATGCACTGCAGTCATTTCTGATTGAAAAATATTTCTAACATAAAAGCAAAAATATTTATGCTTTTAAAACTATCTGCAGTTCAGCTTTCTAAGACATTCTTAGAACTATCGAAAGTGTTATAATCACGTCTTCAATAAATTGTTATAAGTGAGTATCTTTAAAAAACAGCAGAAATCGACAATTGTTTTTATCCTTTAATCGGTTCGATTCTGTTCGAAAAAAACACGAACCGATCCCATCATTGCTATGAGCAATGAATGCATCGCGTCATGGTTATAGTTATATTTCGTGCAATGAATCCGCTGACTTGTTGTATTTCTTGTTTTCATAGCGATGAATAAATTATGAAAGTAAACTTATTTGAATTGAAATAGATTCTATCATGTTTATTAAAATTTTTCTTCAACAAGCACGTTTGTCCCGATGAAGCTAGCGATATCCGATTTCATTTGACGTCAATGGATGTTTTCCAAGTCGTAGAAAACCCAGGTGAGTGAATAAAGCTGATAAAAAAATATCTCTAACAATTTAGTTTGATGTTACTTTGTATATTGATCTCTACTGAAAGAGAGCGTGAGCGATAAGATTTTAAAAAATAGTGAATTTATAAAGTTAGTCATATTCTTGGAATAAAGAGTGTCCTCCCCAGCTAGTAAGTAGAAGGGTTCCACTTGGATACTCGATACTATCTCTGAATTATGGAGATATATTTTACTCTTTTACAATTTATTTATACAAGCTTTTCAAGTTGATAGCTCTCTTGTAGGTTACTCGTACTAAATTATCAAAAAATGTTTTTATTTGAAAGAGAACTGCAAGTAACTGGAAGGCATTTGTTGCAACACTCCTTGTAACTATCTTCATTGTATAAAACAATCCCAACTAGTGCCGAAATTCTCTACAAGAGATCTATTGAAGATGAGGAGTCTATGACATAAATGCTGTTCTTCAATAGTATCCGATTGAATAGGTTTTGAAAATTTTGATAAATATATCATATTGTGTTATCGAATCGTTTACTTACGAGTAGAATTTCGTGGAAGATTTCAGATAGTCAGTCTCGTGTTTATTTAAAGAAGTGTATCTGCACATATAGATAGTTTTGATATCAATGAAGTATCATTGAATATTAGAGCATGCCCCAAAATAGATCAGTTCAAAGTTTACAAGAGCGCGTCAGTTGGAAAATTCATTTTTTCGAACAAAATCCTGTACTAAGGGGTGATATGACTCAGAGATACTTCCTGATTATTCCACGGAACCCAGTTAGATAGTCTTCAGATGCACACAAAAAGAAATACGATCTGTTTTTCTCGAGAATTTTTCATGTTAACAAATTCTCATGTCAATTGGCATTCATATGTGACAAAGCATAGAGGAAGCAAATGTGTATTAATTTGTCACATTTTATTTACCAAAATACAAACGGATACTCTAGACAAATCAAACAGCATTAGAGCATGCTTCTTATGAATTTCAGATCATACTATTTCATAGAGCTACCAACACACTTGATCAATCTAAAGCTGTCAACAATAAAATAATTCAGCTTCATCCGTAATCGGTATTCATTGTTTATTCGTTTATTGCAACGAATTAAGGTAACAAGCGAGAATGACGTCTCAAAAAAAAAATGTACAAACGGATGGATCCATCCTTGCAACGCGTGAGAAAAAACGTGTGAAATTTAGTGGGAGTCTCAAATTTGTCTCCTCTTTACTGCTGCCACTCACATTAGGCGTCTTTACTGTTGTGATTACTTTTCAACAGCAGAGTGCAGCTAAACAGCAACGTGATGGCGATCGAGAGGCAGCTAAACAGCTGCGGGACCAAGAAAAACAAGACGCGGAACTACTGCGCAAACAAGACAAGGATCTAGATAAGCAACGATATGAAAACGGCCGTTTCGACGCTTATATTCAGCAAATGGGTAAGCTGTTAGAGAAATACCATGGATCAATAAAATCGAGCGAAATTGCAGCTACGCTTGCTCGAGTTAAGACCCTGAATATCTTTCGTCAACTAGAGCCGCAACGCAATGTTCACATTATTCGATTTCTTTACGAAGCGAAACAACTCACTGATACACCGGAAAATCGTTCAATCGATCTTTCAACAGCAAAACTTCTTGACATCGATTTTCGTGATACAGCAGTAGATGGGAAACAATTAGATCAATTGTCATTGACAGGCATCTTTCTATTAAATGCCACATTTATTGGCATTAAAATGTCAAATATTAATTTTTCTCGTACCAAGTTCGATACGACTAATTTTTCATTAGCAAAGATCCATGATGCCAATTTTTCATTTGCTGAATTCTATAATACTAGCTTTACATCCACTTATTTTTCTAATACTATTTTCGCTAAAACTACATTTCAAAATGTTAATTTTTCATCTACTACGTTCGACACGATTGAGTTTCCACGGGCTAAACTCGAGAACGTCTACTTTTCATCCAATAATATTCGTTACATCAATTTTCAATTCAGCTCCCTCGTCAATGTCGACTTCTCGTTTTCTGTGCTTTTTAATGCTGATTTTTCATCCGCTTCGCTCACTGATGTCAATTTTTCACACACGCTGCTCGTTAACGCCAAGTTTCCATCTGCGACCCTCAAAGGTGTTGATTTTTCATCGGCTGAGCTGTACAAGCCTGACTTTTCAAACGCTCAGCTCACGAATCTCAACTTTAAATCCACTAATTTAAGTAATATATTTTCCAGTATAACGTTTTATTCCCGAAATCATTATTTTAAGTCCTTTTTAGTTTCAGCCAATTTCTTAGATGCCAAAATATCTAATACAAATTTTCACCAATCGAGTTGTGTTGCATCTAGATTCCAGTTGGCTTCGCTATCCGATTGTAACTTTTGGCAATCAAATCTTAAGGACGCTATATTCCAAGCAGCTAGATTGAATCAAGTTAATTTTTATCATGCTAACCTGTATAAGACTAATTTCATGGATGCCGATATGGCAAATAGTGAATTGGATAATACTCTCTCTATTCAAGATGTTATACTGCCAAATAAAACATCTGCTCATGATGAGAACTTGATCAAAGATGGTCAAGCTGATTGTAATATTTCTCATATTAGTGGTTGGACACTGAACAATGGTAATATCACTACAGCTATATCTAACAAGAGTAATTCGAATTGTCAGTTCACCTTACAATCATTCTCTACTGGAGCTACTATGTACCAACGTGTCAATTTATCAGATAAGTGGGATTCAAATTTGTGGACATACTCTGAAGCCGTATTGAGTGCAAAAGTGAGCACCGGTGTATTGATAGACTTGAAAGGATTACAAAGGAATAATTCAGTATCTTCCAAAGAAACTTTAAGTAAGTTTCAATATGCTACTAATGAATTTGGTATATCTTGTACTTACAGGCTCGACTAAAGAGCAAATCAATTTGCTTTTACACAATGATATGTGGGAACTTGAAGTGTTTATCAAGTTCAATGCTACTGCAAGTCATAGCAATATGAATAATTACTGGTGTGATGACATCAAACTTTACATAATCTATGGGACATATTTGGAATCAAGACAACGTAAGTACTGTCCCAGATAATGTCTGCAAAGAGTTTAGAATCTTTTAACACTTGACGCATTGTTGCGCTGATGAAGCACGACTTTTGCATTCGTCAGACACCTAATTCAATCTATAATCTAGATATTCACTCAGTGTGTAAAAACTTGTCAGAAGTAGTTTTTTCTTGCTATCTATTCAATCATTAATGAATTCGAATTATCAAAAAATGCTGTAGCCTATGAGTTATGAAATCCATAGTGAGAATTACAAATTCAAAAAGATTACTGTGTAATACAGATTGCGACAGGTTTATCATTATGGCATTCTGACTGAATAAGGCATTTTGTCGAAAATATTAAAATTTTACTCCCATAGACTGTATCTCTGACTCTGAAAATTGCATCAGTAGTAAGGTACCACCATATGTCCGATTTTATTCATACAATTATCGATCTGAAACATTTTATATTCAAAATGACAGTTCAAAGAAGTATTGATTATACTTTTGAACGAAGTTATTTTTATCACAACAATAGAGAATATTTCTTGAATAGGTTTGGATTTCCAGTTTCTAGGAAACTTTCAATAGTGTTGTTTAATCATATATGTTAGAACTTGAAAAAAATACTTCCAATCAGTGTAATCTTCATAATGTACAAATGATTCGAAATAAAATGATTACTGAGAAAATCATCTATCGTTGTTCGTTGAAAAAATTATCACATTTAGATTTTTCGGTTTCATCTCTACCATTTCCTTGTTTTCGCTCACACACGCACATCGATAACGGTGAAATATGTGATGTAAGATTGTCTATTTGACAATTTCATCTATTTCTCCTATCTCTAATTAAGGATACTTTTATTTTCTTTATTAGCTTTATGCATCGATTTTAAAAAAAGTGGACATTTTATATTTTTCTTCTTTTTTACAAAATGCTATTTCTTGAAGCTACATTAGCATAAGTAGATTTTTATCAATAGATTCATTGCATTATTACTCATATTTCCTATTTAAGAAAAAATAAATATCACTGATAAAATAGGACTTAGAAGGGCACTCAACATTCTTCTTAGATATTTTTCGATATGTAATACTTTTTGAAAAAACAGTGAAGATTTTTCGATCTGGATTTGGCCTTCATTTTCAGTTAAATATGTCTAGGAAATCAAAATTTTGAGAAGAAATTGTATAGCTCATCTTGTTTTCATAATAAATACATAGCGTTAAAAGTGTATCCGATCATATTGACAACAAGCTTATCAACATTTAGTCAAAATTCATCTATAAAATATCAGAGACGCTCGAAGTTTTGTTTTTGAAAAAGTAATAGTCGGTGTAGTTTTCTATTTGATCTTTCGGATTTATTAGAACTGCGAGAAGTTTCCATAACCATTGGAGGCTCGTACTACCCTTATCTAGCGATCTAGAAAAAGAATAGAAAAAACTACATTAATTAATATACTTGAAATATTTTTCGGATGCATTTCTAAACTCAAAGGACGATGAGAAAATATAGTTGCGATACGTCTAAAAGGTTTTTTATCGAGAAAATAAACCCTTTTATGCATTTACGGTTTTCTTCAACAAAGATATTCAGTTGTTCTAACGGAAACAAAGCAATATCATCGATGATCAGTATACTGTTTTAATATTACAAAAAAAATGCTAAAATCGACGTAGATAATGGGAACCACCATTTATCTAAAAGCTTAGAAGCCATAACATGTTGGTCAACATTTTCAAGCTATTTCTTGCTCTTTCAGTGTTCATAAAAACTTATATTATTCATTTCTTGTATATCAAAATACTAGACCAAAACGAATAAGAAAATATCAATTCGGTTTCGCTCTCTCATCTCCATAGCAGTTGCTTTAGCAAAATGTTATAGAATCTTTAAATAAAATGTGAAATATATTAATGCTTTTAAAACCCAGCCTCGATCATCCATGAGATCATGTATCACCTATGAGAAATTTATTTATTTTTTCAGTTGTCTTTTATGATGATACTGAAATTAATGTGTTATAATATGACAATCTTTTTTATATCGCATCTCATAGATATACGTTTTGANGGATGCATTTCTAAACTCAAAGGACGATGAAAAAATATAGTTGCGATACGTCTAAAAGGTTTTTTATCGACAAAATAAACCCTTTTATGCATTTACGGTTTTCTTCAACAAAAAGATATTCAGTTGTTCTAACGAAAACAAAGCAATATCATCGATGATCAGTATACTGTTTTAATATTACAAAAAAAAGTGCTAAAATCAACGTAGATAATGGGAACCACCATTTATCTAAAAACTTAGAAGTCATAACATGTTGGTCAACATTTTCAAGCTATTTCTTGCTCTTTCAGTGTTCAGAAAAACTTATATTATTCATTTCTTGTATATCAAAATACTAGACCAAAACGAATAAGAAAATATCAATTCGGTTTCGCTCTCTCATCTCCATAGCAGTTGTTTTAGCAAAAGGTTATAGAATCCTTTAATAAAATGTGAAATATATTAATGCTTTTAAAACCCAGCCTCGATGATCCATGAGATCATGTATCACCTATAAGAAATTTATTTATTTTTTCAGTTGTCTTTTATGATGATACTGAAATTAATGTGTTATAATATGACAATCTTTTTTATATCGCATCTCATAGATATACGTTTTGAAGCCAACAAATTCACAAAAATAGATTGTAGTAATCATATTTTACGTGAATACATTAAACATATGCTGTGGTACCTCTTTGAGACCTGCAATCTCTCTGCATTTTTATTTTATTCTGTTGTCTAATTATAGATCATGCATATTGAACTCTAGTATTGTAACGTAACCAAAATAGTAGATGATAGTAGCACAGTTAACAACGAGATTCCATGAAGAATGCTGAAGCCTTCGTTCTTTTGCTTCGGCTATCCTTGAGTTATGTATTTTTGAAATTAAATGTATGGTTCTAATTTAATAAAGAAGTCGCATATTACTAATTAAATAAAATCGTTGAAAGTGCTTATTTTATCAAGATCTATTTTTATTCTACTCATACTTCGATAAAAAAATTCACCAAAATCAATTAATATGGTTTATTGTGCGAATTTACAGAAAGACTTAACTATCGAAATAAAAATATTATTTTTAAATATAGATATTTTAACAAGAAAATCATTAAACATTTGAATATTATTTGTTTTCGTTGTTTATCTACAAGAAGTTTAATAGAGAATACATTCTATTCCTCAATGTTGAACATTCCTGAACCAATTCTATCTAATTCCTGAAATTCCGTTTATCACTTCCGACACAATTCGAGTAAAACATTCTCAAGAAAAAAAAGATATTTATATGTTGTTAAATTTTGATTTACGTCGGATTCCAACAGATGAACATCAAAAAAACTAAACATAAAAGAAAATAAATCATTTTACTTGTTAATCAGAATAGCTTTAGAACAAATCAAATTTATTTCCATTTTACTTTTCTATCCTGGGATTGATACTACAATCTTAAGAAATAATAACTCTGAATCTCACACCCGATATTAATTCTGGAGTTAAGTCACAATTGAATTCTAATACAATGAAAAAACTGAAGTAATGAAATCACAAGAAAAATACTGCACTTACTCCACTAAATGAAGATAAATAAAAATTTAGAAATAAATTACATTTGATCTTATTTTGTGATGAAAATAATATATATCGCGGTCAGAACCATCCGTGATAAAACTGCTGTTAATGCATATAGAATATAATACGAATTTCAATATCTTTATACTAGTATAAATTTCCTAGCCAATCCAAAAATGTTTTAATCGTTTCATCGATAAGTAAACAGAAAATCTGTAAACTATTCTCCTTCGTCAAAAATATAATTCTAAAAATATTTGCGAAAAGTTTATCCTTGGAAAATTCTGATGATAGAAACCAAAATATTTTTTCAATAAATCTCTAAAAAAATCTAGATGTAAACCATAAGAGATTATGTTCAAGAAGTTTTTCATCTTGGCATGATAGTGGTGGAACTACTTTGTGAATACTTTATTGTAAACTAATTTATTATGAGTATAAAAAGAAAATCAATTGAAATTCTTGACTCGATAAAAAAAAGTAGCAATACTAATGCACGACTTTCAATCTAAAATTAGAATTATAGAAACAAAGAAAAAGAAATTCTATCCTACACAATAGCTTTTTGGATTCAACAAAAGTTATTTGTCTACTTGTAATTGTAGTAAAAGCATTGCAATATTTATTTGATTTTTAATAATTTTGATTCAAGATGAAGAATTAATTGGCAATAATCTGAAATTACAGAAAAATATAATTAAATATATATGATTACGATCGGTTACCTAATTTCTGTGTCAAAATATTTAATTAAAACATCAAGTGAGAAATTCTTTTAAGATAAATTACATTTCGAACTGTTTGTTGAATTGAAATCGAAAACAAATTCAACTTTCTCTCGCTGCCAACATGATCCTACTTTCATTTATACTAAACTATTTTTCGTTGAATTCTTGTGTTAATTGATTAACTAACTATCTATTAAAATAAGTTCAATAGAAATAAAAACATTACCTTCTCAAACGATTCTATTGTATGTAAAAACGATTGTAAGTAAATTGTTGTTTAATTAATGAATGTAAGCGATAGAATAAAGAAGACCCATGTTTTTTTCCACATACACTCATTGTTTCACCCTAGTCGAACATCTTGTAAGCAAGATCTTCAAATCTTCGGATCGATAAGCAAGATCTTATGAAGATCTTGGCAAGATCTTGGAAAAAATATCGTGTACTACTATCTTCTAATAAGATCTAGAACGAAAGAGAAAGCGACATCATTAGTGTATTTACATGCTCTCTAGTCATTCACCGTTTTGTTTTAATGCATACACAGCTGTATTTAAACAGCATGATTGGACATACGAAGCACAAATTTTCAAAAAATTCTTAACTATTTCTCGATTATTCTAGAGAATGCTAATCTCGATCGATGATCGAGAGAGGACTACCCTAATTGGTCCGACGGATATCGGACCAACTTATAGCCAGTCAGATCCCAACATTTGACTTGCTCGAATTGTTCGGGAGGAATAATTAAAATGAAAATAAATTGAAAATTTTTTTGAAGAATGCAACAGGTTTTATTTTATTGTGCATCCAAGGTTTTATGGATTCTTATGTAAGATCTGAAATTAGATCTTGGGTACAATATAATACAGTTATCTTGTAAGTAAATTTCCAAGATCTGTTAACATATCGGTACCTTGTATCTTGACCAAGATCTTACTAACAAGATGTTTGTCTAGGGTGATCTATTCAAAGAATTTTGCTCAATATTTTCGAAATTATTTCATATACTATACCTATACTCGAGAGAGAAAGAGATTTCCTTTTATTCTTACTCTTTCTCTTGTAGTTAATATTCCTGCTAATGCTACATGGGCACAGAACGGTGTAACTATTGCTGGAGGTAACGGGAGAGGGGGTGCCAGTAATCAACTCTACTACCCTGAAGGTCTCTTCGTTGATGATGATCAAACAGTGGTTATTGCTGACTTCGGGTATAATCGTATCATGCAATGGAGGAGCGGTGATACAACGAATGGGCAAGCTGTTGCTGGTGGTAAAGGCAAAGAAAATGGATTACATCAATTGAATGGTCCAAGTGATGTATTAATTGACAAAGAGACGGATAGTCTCATTATTTGTGATCGAGAGAATCGACGAGTCGTACGATGGTCTCGTCGTAGTGGTACAACACAAGGTGAAATCCTCCTCGATAACATCTGGTGTTGGGGATTAGCAATGGATGAACAGAGATATTTCTACGTCTCTGACACAGAAAAAGATGAAGTAAGACGATATCAATTGGGTGAGCAGAATGGCACTCTCGTAGCTGGTGGAAATGGACAAGGTGATAGACTTAATCAACTCAACTTACCGACATATCTCTTTGTCGATCGGCAACAGACTGTATACGTATCAGACTCGAACAATCTTCGTGTAATGAAATGGGATAAAGGTGCAAACGAAGGTATTGTGGTCGCTGGAGGACAAGGCGAAGGGAGTTCTCTGACACAATTGAAGTATCCTAATGGAATCTTCGTTGATACATTGGGTACACTCTATGTAGCAGACTTCGGGAATCATCGTGTAATGCGTTGGACTCAAGGAGACAAGAAACAAGGCACTGTAGTTGTGGGTGGAAATGACGAAGGAGCAGGAGCAAATCAGTTCAACTACCTCGTTGGTTTGTCTTTCGATCGACATGGTAATCTCTATGTCGTCGATCGTGATAATCATCGTGTTCAACGATTTTCTATCGAATAAGACCTGTGAATTGTTTTTTCTTTGTTCGTTTCTTTTTCTATACTTTGAAATAAATGAGTGTATAAAAACAATATCAAATTATTGATTTTGAAGCCTTCTATTTTTTTTAGATCTCACCGCGATGAATATCGATCTAGAAAATGCTGTTTGTTATGATCAAGAACAACGAAGTAAAAGATACAAAAAGAATCACTCAAATGCTCGTACTCCTACTGATCTCGCTCAAGAAACAGAAGAATCGTTTTATTTACCCAAATGCCCATTAACTGAAGAATTTTCTCATTGTTCTAAATTACATGATTTACAAGAAGAGGTACAAGTTATTATAGATGAAGATGATGATCGTATTGATGATGCTTTACCTTTTTATAAAGATCAAGATGAAAGTTTGAATGAAAATTATTGTATTGATTCTGATGCTGTGGGTGGTATGATAAATTGTGAATACAATGAATGCAATAATAATGATTTTAACATTGATGATGCTACGGATTGTTCAACATCTGACAATGATAGCAGTGAAACAGAAAGTGAAGAAGTATGTTTGCACGAATATACAAACGTTTCAACTATATATTATTGTACTGATCTATTGAATTATTTACGTGCTGCAGATATTTCCAAATCACATTCAACACATCTCATTACATTGATTAAATCGATTTTGCCTACGCCTAATCACCTTCCTGCTACAATGGATGATCTTTTGTTGTTTATGAATATTGATAATTTATTTTCTAGACGATCAATCTGTCTAATATGCAAAGGAGATTTAGAATATAAACAAAGAAAATGTTTAAACTGTAAATGTTGTGATGAAAAATCAATAGCCGATATTTATGACATTAACTTGAAAGACGTCTTCACCAAATTAGTTAAACGTTTAACACCTATTATTGAAGAATACAAACAAAAAATCTATAATAATATCGACGAACAAGAAACACAAGATATTCTGTTCGGATATTTGTATGGAGAATTATTAAAGGAGTATTCTTCAGAAAATATTCTTAGCCTCATACTTCATCTCGATGGCGTTGGTCTTACTCGTTCAAGTAAATTAAAAATGTGGCTATTCAGTGGGTCGATCGTCGAGTTACCACCAATTTTTCGATATCGTCGTTATAACATGATTTTAATGTCAATATGGGTGGCGTATACTGAACCTAAGCCGGATTTATGGCTCCGACCAATTATTTCACAAATCCAATCGTTGAAAATGCAAGGTATTGATCTTTTTATAGCTTAAATTAAGATCATAATATTTCAGCAATTGAAAAAAAAATGTTTTCGTCTGCTATCTGCTTTTCTGCTTAGGATCGAATTGCTTTTTAAAGAATGTCTAAATTTTATAAGTTAACTATTTCAGTTTTTTTTACGAATGACTTCTCCTTTTGAACTCTATTTAGACCAAACAAAATAAATTCTCATTCTACATCTATATGACTTGTTGAAAACAAAAGTTTCTCTATAAATATTCCTTGTACTTTAAAATGAAATTTTACACGTTTAAATTTGTTGCTTGACATCAGCAATCATGAATCTCACCACGAATAATACAAAATGAATTTTCTTTTTTTTTTCTTTAGTAGTCCTCTGTTTATCATCTTTATTATTCAAAGTCATATGTGTAATAGTTTTCTCTATATTTTAGGTATTGTCATTAATGAAAATATAAATTATAAATTGAAAATTTATGGTGTTACTGGTGATTGTCCGGTATTAAGACTTATTTTAAATTTTATAAGCCACAATGGCTATTACTGTTGTTGGCTCTGCTATGTTCCTGGTGAACATATAGGTGGTAAACGTCAGTATAAAATTGAATTACCAATGATCATGCGTAATAAAAGTGCTTATGAAGATGAATCAAATCTTGCTGAAGAAAAAAATATTAATGTATATGGGCATTTAGGTGTAAGTGTACTATCACCGATTCTTGATATACCATTACCTGATGCAGTCATAATTGATTATCTGCATGTCACGTTGTTAGGGCATGGAAAAGCCCTAATATCAAATTTATATTATACGTTGAAGCCTATTCATCGTTTGGAAGTCGATAATCGATTAAAAAGACAAAATTTCCCTCATTATTTCAACCGAAAAATGAGACCTATAAGTAACTTCGGTTTTGTTAAGGCAACCGAAATAAAAAATATACTATTTTATGGTCTTTTACCTATTTTTCAATTATATTTACCAATCGAAAAATTATCTCATTTAGCCCTATTTGTTTGTTTTACTCGTTTATTACATGCTGAATCGATATTTGGATCAAATAAGACAAGCAATGTTGCACATGACTTATTTCAACATTTTTACCATGATCATGATGAATATTACTGTGGACTTCAAAATTTAGTATTGCATTTACACACACATTTTAAAACTATGTACAACAATCACGGTGCTTTATCAAACATCGGATGCTTTGGCCAAGAAGACCTCATCGGGTCCATTGGCTCCAATCACCATGGTACGCGATATTATGGGAAGTTAATTACATATTACTACAACATCGACTTCTCATTACATAACAAGCCAACAAAAACCAAAGCAATCATCGAAAAAATTGATTTAGTGAATGATGCTGTCGATAAATATCATGATCTTCATGCTCAGTTATGTGACTGTGAACAACTACATAAGTATTTTAACATTTGTCGACGTTTTATTATTAAAGACCGAATGTTTCATTCATTGATGTATAATAAACGTGGTAAATCTGTAAGTTACTTTATACAATATTCATTTGATCAACGTCATTATTACTTTGGAACAATTAAATATTTTTTCTTTCTACTATCGAAAGAAAAATCATATGCTGTTGTTAATTAATGCGGTGCGAAGCACAGCATTCATGTAGTCCGTCGCGAGTTTTTTTTATATCCTGTCAAGCAAAAATATAGTGATTATTTTCGTCTATGGAAATATTATCATTTATTGAATAAACCTTTAAATAGTTTCTTTTTTGTTTTAGAAAATCATCCTTGTAAAAAAAATATCGTACTAACTGATTTCATATTGAAACATTGTATTGTATTTGACATGAACAAATATATTCTTGTTACACCTGTTTCGGCATATAATGAACATGATTGATTTCCTTGAAAATTCATTTAAACCATCTTTCTGTTTCAGATAAAAATTCAAGTATATCATTTAATATAATCAACTAAAAGGTTTTCTGATCGAAGCCAACGAGAAAAAAATCAAAAAAATATTTTCCCCGTCGGATCCATTACAAGCGTATTATTATTTAATTTCTCATGATGATCCGGAAAAATATCGAGTTATTGGTCGTTCAAGTGTTCAGAAGATAACCAATGATAAAGCCGTCGTTACCAACATTGCTGGTGATGTACGGATCCTGAAATCAGGTGAGCTTTTATTGATATGAAGATGATTAGAATCTTGTGATACGAGAAATATTTTAGGTACTTTAGATTATTGTCGAAAAGAATTAAAGTTGAAGATGCAGGAAATGGAAGAACAAAACGAAGACAAAGCAATAGATGGTAATAAATTTTACATTTCCCTCAGATTTCTTAACATTTATTTAAGAACAAGATGAAGACGACGATGATGACAATGAAATGAGTGAAGATGAAGATAATGACGACGACTCGTATATTGGTCAATCATCGACTAGTTGTTTAAAAAGACCTAGTGATGGATTTAGTACTAGTAATAGATGTTATTATCAACTTGAGAGATTGTTACAACGCTTCTTTTTTTTATATATGCTTTGCAACGTTCATATAATAAAGGCAAGGCAAGATTCCAATCAAATCAACGTTTTAATCGTGGTATGTCTTTTTTAATTTGATCTTTTCATTTTCACTCTTTTTTCTACATTTTTTGTTTGGTACAGATCGCTCTTTACAAAGGAATGGTAGATGCCAATCCAAAGTTACTGCTTCTCATGATCTTCCTGCTAAAAATAATTCAAATAATAATCATCCAGATAAAATTACTGGTATCAATAAACTTTTTTTCGATTGTTTGTATTTGTCTTATGTTAAAATTTAATATGATAGGTAATTTTTCACGGTTCACCAGCTCTTCACAAGATGATCATTGCCATATTGATACAAATACTGATAAAACTCATTCAAGTTTTGTTGCATTGCAGGTTTTTCCAATATCCATTTCTTTTTTTAAAATTTAGAATCTAAGTTTAAACAAGAGATGATCAGTGGTATAAGATCATTAAAAAAAAGTTTCAAAATTGACTAAAACTGTTGAATATTTAACGATTCCATCATCACCGGTGTGTACTTTTTTCCTGGTTGATTTAATAGTTTTTTTTCTACTAAGCAATCTTTTCATCTTTAGAAAAATGATCAATTATCATCCTATCGTGATGAGAATGACAAAGAAAATTTTCAAGATGAAATTGTAAGCATACTTAATAATCAATTTTTTTGTTTCATCTTAGTATATTATTATCTTAAAGCCATGGGATGGTAAAAATTTATTGAAAGTTACTGGTCGAGATATTGGGGACTACGCTAGAAAATTACTCGATATTTTATGTACAACACAAGAATTACAATCCAGTATTCTGCCATCACAAGCTGCACACTTGTATCAAAAAGAAGTTTTGGGCGAGGATCGTTTCAAAATTCTAAATGGTAAGTGAAAAATATATATAACCATCAACAAGGTCGATTTAGTAAACAGTTAAAAACATTATAACCTAATTTTTCTTCAAAAAAGATGTAAACGGAATTGATGAATTCTTTTTGTCTTGCTAATCTTCATACTAACACCTATAACTTCTCATTCTCAGAAAACTTGAACTTTATGCTACAATAAACCAGAAGCAATATGTTGCTGCAATTTATTGCTCTTTAATGAGCCAACAAATAAAATCATTGAATTTTTTTAGATGCCGTACGTGTCAAATATCGACTATCAGAAGATGGGTATCGTCAGTATTACACTAATACTTTACGTGTAAAATTAAGCCGTTATCTATATGATCAAGGGTCAAGAAAATTGAAACAAGCAGGGAATAACCAACAGCAACTATCTCAACAACAACAACAACAACAACAACAACAACAACGAACGACGACGACAGCTAGTTCCATTGAAAGTAATCACTCTTACACTGCACATATGAATGATTGAAACACTAATATGTCTATTAATGTTTGAGCTGTATTTTTGTTTTGATTTGAAATGTTTTCTATATAACAACTTGTTTTACTCTTCTGAAATTGTTCATGTTGAATGTACGTCTTCTTTTACTTGTTAATTTTAATATTGTTGCTCGTGTGTTTTTTGTGTGGTTATTTCGTCTAATCCTTGTACTTATTTTGCGTGATTGAAGATGAAAATTAATTAATTAAAGAGAATTAAATAATATTAAATTTATAAAAGAAAAAGAAAAGTTGGCCAGTATGAATCTGACTTAAAACGCCGGAAAACGGTGAGATTAAGGTGACGAAGGACGAAAATGGAGTCCTTTTATAATTCGACTTTTTTCATCGGAAACGGCCTTAAACGACGTCGTTAACGTTCCGAGGGAAAACGGTCCGTAATCCGAGCTGAAGGAACCCATGTCGTCTCTTTTTTATCAACTGTGCCGCAGTTACGCGTAACTATGGNTTGTTCATGTTGAATGTACGTCTTCTTTTACTTGTTAATTGTTATATTGTTGCTCGTGTGTTTTTTGTGTGGTTATTTCGTCTAATCCTTGTACTTATTTTGCGTGATTGAAGATGAAAATTAATTAATTAAAGATAATTAAATAATATTAAATTTATAAAAAAAAAGAAAAGTTGGCCAGTATGAATCTGACTTAAAACGCCGGAAAACGGTGAGATTAAGGTGACGAAGGACGAAAATGGAGTCCTTGTATAACTCGACTTTTTTCATCGGAAACGGCCTTAAACGACGTCGTTAACGTTCCGAGGGAAAACGGTCCGTAATCCGAGCTGAAGGAAAACGGCTGGAAAACGGTGAAGAACGGCGGTCGTTTTTTATCCTTTAGGGCATTAATTATGCCGTTTCTTGACCGCTTCAGGCAGTTTAATACCATCTTTCAGACGGTCTGAGCGATGGACCTGGGATTTGATCGTTTTTCACTTATTTGTCCATAAGAAGAGAAGCAAGAGAATAAACAACAAGCGTTGGTAGTGACGCGTGAATAGTGACAGAGGTATGATTAAGGTGAGACCATAATAAAAGGACATGAGATATGATCAAAAGAGAGAAAGCAATGAGAAATTCAACAAGGACAACATGGTAATAACAAGTAAACATGATAATACGAACGATAAGAATAACGTCTATGAAGCAAAAACCAATGAAGAATGCACAACTACCTGATCAGACACTCTCTTGAGCGAACTCGCAAGGATTGGTGACACTCCAAAACTTCGTATTTATTCGATTATACTGACTATCCTCAATTACCATCAATGAAAATTATCATGCATGCATATTTTATTAAAATTTAAAATTGTGAAAAATACAGAAAAAATGAACTGAAAATATAGCTGAGAATATGAAGACTACATACGAAAGGATTGAGGAATCTAGAGGTGTCGGAGAAAAAAAAACAAGAATCAATTATACAGTCAGTTTCACTGTTGTTCACTTCTGATTCGCATGTAAAACGAATCTACGTCTTTTTTAATTCCCTTTCAAGGGAATAATAAGATTGATATCATGAAATCCTATATGTTTAGGTCGAAGCTATTATTTAATTGATGCAAAAAATATTGAAACGAATACAAATAGAAAGCAAAATTACTAATAATGGATCGTACATTTGTCGATTATATTATCTGATTTTATGAGAATCATGTCAATTTCCATATGTGGACATCGTCAATGTAATAATCGATTGCTGATCTCATTTGATTATTAGATGTTTTGTCATCGAGGGATACAATCAAATGTACAGAACATCTTGAACAAACTTAGAAAGACGAATTTAGCATTATCAAACCATTTACTATTAAAAGAGTATTTTTTTTACAGATAATGTCCAATCGAAGTTTTACGAAAGATTTATTTAAAGATTATGAGTAATATCTTATTGAATTACAACGTGAATAGATATGATAAATTGTTGTTTTACGAGTACCATACATTTATTCATCCTTTTTCAATCTGTGAGTCTTGAAATGCCTGTCGAAACAAAAGAACGATATTATCGAACAATATGATATTTAAAAAAGATGAAATAGTTCAGGATTAAAATCTGAAAGTTACATTTTGTTCGATTCTCTTTTTTTTTATTAAATAATAACAATTACTTGATCAACTTGAATTAAAGATGATAATGAGACAATATTCGTAGTCTAAATAAAAAAGATGATAAAAATCTCATCTATTATTGAAGGAATAATTCAAATTATTTTCTATACATCCTCTTTGAAATTGATATCTTATTTTTATAGTGTCATCTGTATGCTAATTCGTTTTCGTGTTTTTGAAAAAAACTGTGAGTTTTATTTCTTTTAACATAGATATAATAGGAAACAATTCTATTTTATAACAACAAATGGTTGATTGACTACTTCAAAATTGAGTAGTGATCAGTGATTGGATACTCAGTAAAATACTTGGTACTTTTTGCACTTTTACTGAATAATTACGCATACTTAAGTAGACTTTTTCATTACCAGTAAATTTACTGGTACTTTTAGATTGTACTGAAGTATCAATACTTGTAATTTTTCACTGAAGTATCAGTATTTTAAGTACAAAATTTACTTTCATCAGCATGTCAACATATCCAAGTGTAGTAACACTTTGCATTATCAGATTTTGGGTTAGCATAATTAAAACGAACTTGTAATATAATTCTATTGAGATATCGATTGAACAAATAGTGGAATCAACTATAGTTAATAATTGAAATCTTTATTTGATAAGAAAAGATTGATGTCAAATTACCCGAAAATCGGGTAACGCCATTTAAAGTAGTCATTATCCACGATAATCCACTAAGAGCAAACGCAAAAGCATAATCATTTCCTTAAGGTAATGAGGTGATTGCTCCTTCATGAACTCGCTTGGTGAAGTCACTTGGGTAATGACAGCTCGAAATGTTGCTACCTGATCTTCAAGTAATTTGACATCTATGATTATGATTCGATGACGAAAACTAGCAGAGCTCCTTGTTATCTCTCATACACCAATCAATATTTTTAAAATGTCATTCTATCAATTGCTCTATATTAAGTATTTATTACACATCATACTGTAGTGTAGCTCAATTAATAACTAATATTAATCCTTAGAATCGAAACTGAAATGTAATGTAGATCATCCTTCACACATATTTCGCTACAGACGTCACTAAATCAAAGCCATGACGTGTGCTATGAACTCTCAATATCAATATTTATGGCTGCATAAACAACTGTATCTCGTTATAATTATAAGTACTCTCGTGTACTTAAATTTACTGTACTTGAGTACAACCGGACTTAGTGCAGTTACTGAGTAAAATGTACTCAAGTAAAGAGTACTTAAGTAAAGTACAGAGTAAATTTTTTCAGTATTAAGTATTTTACTTATACTTGCTGTACTTGTACTCGTACAATCACTGGCAGTGATTAATGTCAAATAATATCAAAATAACTATAAAAATATATTTAATAATTTAGGAATCTTATTATTTGAGACGACCATCAAGTAAAGCAAGACAATCATTAAAACTAATAAAATTGATACATAATTTAATAAGTGTCAAAGAGGTAAAAGATGTTGATGATAAGTAGTGTATCAATAAAAGTGGACAATCGTTGATAGCCGATGGTATGCTTCTCTTGTGTTATGTCAATTCTTTGAACAAATGAAGTGTATATGCTAATTTCTTACTTAGAAAATATGTTGAAACCATTGATTTATTGAATCAGTAAGATTAGGATAGTTGGCTGTAAGAAGAATACATTTTATAGAAATTGATTAAAAAATAAGAGAGTTGACATTGTTATGAATTCGTGGCACTATATCAATACAAAATCGATTTAGTACTGAATCAGAAACTGAACAAATCTCATTAGTTTTTGATAATGATATGGCAACAAAATTAAGTTTGTTAGTGAAAATGTTCTTCTGCTATAATATCAAGTAGCTGAGGCTAAGTGTAAAATGGAATTTATTATGCCTCAGAAAAATTGCTTTAACTTTTTATTTTGCATTTAAAAAAGCTTTGGTCACCTATTTTCATGTTTACATTCTCCCTCTGTTGGGTCGAATGTATAATCCCTGCTATTTTCTGTGTTCTGTAAAACACAGATTTTGAGAGATTCATAATTTTTTTGTTTCTGATTTTTTTCGCCAGCCAGTAGTTCAAACTCTTCTCTATCGCTCTAAACTAACCCTAGATTTATAAGTCAATATCATATTGGTGTTTTTAGAACGCTTACAAACACAGCTCCAAAAGAAGACTTCGTAAAATGCCATTTACAACTTACTAAGAAGTAAAGGATCTCTCATTATCGGAAACATATTGCAATGACGAAAAATAGCGGTTGATGGAAAAATCGATCTGCCAGGGCAAAACTTCTCATGTCAACATACAAAGAACTCTCAGTGCCTACCGTTCGTTGCTTTCTCGTCATCTAACGTAAGTTTTTTTTGGTCTGATTGGCTTTTGAACAATGCATTAATATTTTCAAGTATTGAAAATCTATACAGTAGCTGATGAATGACTTTTTCATGGGATCTCGATGCCAACAAATGTATACTAGTATTGCTGATGATGATGAGTAGTCAGATAAGCGTAAACTTTGTAGTTTTATTTGACTATAATATTTCAAAAATAACTGAATAACAATCAGATAAGTTCATACCAACTACACACAAATGTATATATTCTAAACTTGAAAATATCTCTTCTCCTTTTAGATATTGATTTTGCAAATGTCGAATCTATACAATGAATAGTTTGTTAATAGGAAATAAGCCTGTGAATTTTGACATATGTTTATAAAGAAATGAAAAATAACGTGGTAGTCGATATAGATTAGATTATTTTGTTCCGATTAAACTGTTTTCATCTACATTGACTTTTTGTATTTACTTTTCAAATATATAATAATCTTGGTTTATTGAGTAAAAGTAGACTAACGATTTTAACATCCGTGTTGTTGCATCTCCTTTAA